GTTGTATTTTACTAATATTATAAAGCTTCATCTATGAAAATTTACGTTTCAGAGAAAATGCATATAATTGCTATTTAATGGGCTTTAACTTTCAGTGTATTAGCTTAGTATAATGGTTTAACTCCTGACTACGACTGCTTAGAGTAAAACGTAGTCAAGTGTTTTTTGTAACTATATATTAAACATCAACATATATTTATTGATAGTTAAATTATTAAATGTTAAATTAAACATTTTCATATAGAAACCCTTTGTTGGTTATACCTTCCTCGATCCTTTTACACAAGCATATTCTTATTTCGACCCAGTTGTTCCTGAGTTAATAAATTAATAATGTGTATATAAGTAGGTTTGTTCCTAATTTAGCTTAAGGGCATGTTAAGAAAATAAATAGATAAAATGTGATGTACAATATTCGGGTCGTGGCTTACCTAACGGTCGTGAATTTTACAACGATCTAGTACTATAGCTTTAAAACTGTTACAGGGTCGGGCTTGAGGTTTTGCATTTCGATTATTTTAAACAGGCATCTAGAATATGAGAACCTACAGATTTGAACTGTTCTATTTATACATCGAATGTTATAAAAATTAAGAGTTTAAAGGCTTTTAACTCAGGAAGAACTGGGTCCAATTAAGAATATGCTTGTATAACCAACCAAACATAGGGTTTCTCTGTGAAAATGTTTAATTTATCATTTGATAATTAATCGATAAATATATGTTGATATTTAATATAAAGAAAACACTTGACTACGTTTTACTCTAAGCAGTCGTAGTCAGGAGTTAAAGCATTATACTAAGCTAATACACTGATAGTTAATGGCCATTAAATAGCAATTATTTGCATTTTCTCTGAAACGTAAAATGTCATTTGCGCAGATTGAATAGAAACTAAACAAACTGAATAAGAGAAGAATGCACAGTGCCAAGCTTTATTGGATTTTTTTATTAATTCATCTCATGACCATGGTTTTATTTAAAATTAAATGGTGTGTTTACGTATTAATTAATATAGTATTATTGCGTAAATGTCAGGTAAATTAAGCTAAAAAAGAATAGTTTTGACAGTCAAAAGGGTATTAAATTTACAAAACAAATCAATCGAAAATGATCTATCACATGTATGAGTAGATTATTTATATAATTATATATATTTTGGAAAGATTTTTTTGCTGCCTATTCAGAAATAATAGTTTTATTTTAGTCAATTTAATGAATCAAGAAGAATCATTATTTTATATTTAAATAATACTAAGAAATCATATGTCTATTGGTGAAAATACTGTTTTTAGTATTGAAGTTTACCGCGACGGAGAGACGCGGCCGGGGTACTAAAATTTATATCATTTTAAGGACTTTCTCATAGTTATCCAGGAATCAAAATTAGAACCCGTTAAAAATATATTTGAATTAATAAATGAAAAAAAAAGTAACCTACGAGTCCTCAAACCACGTAGACAAACGCTAGGCAAGTATAAACAATAATTTCTAGGCCTTTCTCAGTACTTATAGATAAGTAAATGTTGCTAAATAATTCGTCATCTTTGTGTTGAGAGAATAAATTTTACGACGAGTTTCTAGGACGAAACTATAAAACATTCAAACTTTTGTTTGGGTTATTTTCAATACTAAACGATTCATTCATGGTGGTAATAAAGTTGCTAAAATTATTCAAATTTCGATTGATGCAAGCGGTGTTAATATATTGCGGTTGTTATTATTCGCATAAGAATTTTAATATATTCATGAGATGGTTATTTCTTTTCGTGTATGGTATTGCACTTCTGAGTGACACAAACTTTAAATAATTATGTTTTTTAATACCCATAAAAAATTAACACAAAAATTCAAATACTTACTTCCGGAAATGTTCTATGTACCCCTCTGATCTTACAACAAGTCCTAGGTATATTTACTACATTTTTGTCCTCACCTGTCTATTAAACGTTCATTTAATATAGTTCCGTGTCTGTTTGTGTACGATGCCTTGGCATGTAACAATTTGGGAACTATGGTGACACTCATCTTTAGCCTCAACATTTGGCGAGTCTTAATTTCTCTATTTGTGTACAATAATTATTGTAATGAATTTTAATAAATCATTGTCAATACATTTTTGAAGGTTTTCCTCGGCGGTAAATTAATAAGATCAGCATGCGATACATTTCTACATTAAATGTCTAAAACAATTAGCTATACTTTCTAGTTTTTAAAGTAGCCCTTCATATTATTATTTGCCAGGAATGGTCATATTTTATGTTAAAGTACGTACATTGTAGATACATTAGCGTGTAACTAGAAAACATAATGTCACTGCTGCTACGTAATAACTTAAGATGAAATCTAGTCTCATTTGACAAACTGTGTATAATAATATTTGCAGGCAAATTGGTTGCAAAGAGCACAAATAGTGCCCACGACATCTTCAATGAGAAAACCGTCGTAAGTTATGCGCTTATGAGAAAGTTTTTGTATATATCATATCTTATATAGCTTCTAAACTAAGGTGTGTAAGTCTTAGACTGGAGAAATACGCAGTTCCGTGAGACTTAGAAAATTGTTTTATTTACTTAAATTTCTAAGAGTAATATGCTATAATATTATATTATATATTCATTATAGTAATGAATTAAAATTATTTATAGTTCATTGACATATTACATGTCGTAAATAAACTATTATTTAGTTATAAATACTTGTTTTTGTATATTTTTATAATTATCATATAAAAATATTATATCTATTCCAAAGCCTACTAAACATTAAAGACTTGTATATATTCTTTAAAAACGTAATCAGCACATACACAATATTGTTATTTTGTATATATAGTAAAACCTGTCAATCCTCGATTACATTGTTAGAGCAATTCGATACGATTTCAATATTCAGGTTTTCAAATTACATAAGCTGCTAACGCTTATCAATGACACCACATTATGGTGAAGTACGAGCGCACGAAGTAATCATTGCACAGTGACGATGTGGTGAAAGTGGCATTGGATAGCAAATTCACTGACGTTACTCACAGTCGAGGTCAAGTGTAAAACGGGTTCTTCACACTTACATTTCTTTCGAGGAAGTAAAAGTTACGTGTGCTTTCTGACCGAGCTTATTTGTTTGGCATGCGTAATACAGGTGAAAAGTATATATTTTTAAATTAAGAATTCTCTCAAGCCGGATATTCGAGAATTATAAGCGTTTATAGATTTTAAAAGTAAGCCTTATAAATCGGCTACGGTAAAAGATATTTTAATTCAAAGCAACATCTTTATTTTTCTTAAATTAATTCATTCTTTACCTCAGCTTGTGCCTTAGCCTACTTAAATATTTTCGCTATTGCAACTTATCATTTGTTTCCTATTTTCACTTCTGAGGGTAGCCTAAGTCTACCGGGTTTTCTAAGATATATTTGTCGAGCGATAAAATAATCAATTGAAAATATAGCTTCAAATAATTAATTGCCTCTAAAGAATGATGTATATGGACTTAACCGCTAATATTCTGTGCGACTTGGATCGTTGGTACGAGAAAAGGAAAATCCGTCACTTTCGAATTTTAATAATATTATGCGTAAGTTTTCGTTTTTGCTACATACCAAGACATTTAAGTGTCATAAAAATAGAGGCAAAATATTTTATGCTTTGTGTTTTAGTGTTATAAAAGCGACATTTTCAATTGCCTCTCAAAGTAATAAAAAGACGACACAAAAAAAAAATAGTATGGCAAAGTTAATACAGAAGCGAATCGAATCGTAAGAATGGGTCATGTCTACTTAAAATTCGTATTCGGGAGCATAATATTATTTTTATCGTTTATTTTTACATTCAGAAAAAAATCGTTTACAACTGCTAAACTCTGGGAAGCAGACGGTATTCTTTAATATCTTAATAATAATTAAGAGATTAATTAATAATCTTTAGTAAATTCTTTAATAAAATTACTGTGCAGTTAAATTTATGATTAAGTATTATTATAAAATCCTTTTTGTTAATAACATTTACATATAATTCAATAGAATAAGTATATTATGTACTTAGGAATGTAAAACGTGTGAAAATATATGTAAATTAATACAATGATTAGACGTGGGACTTATTTTGGGGCTATAAATGTAACAATATGTACTGCAAAAAGTTAGCATCCGTTTCACTGCCACATACCTATGGATAAATATTGATATGGCAATGGAAACAACTAACATTGATTTACAATTTTTTATTTTTATAAATGAACATCATTATCTGTTGTACGATGTACCGTTGAAGTTTATTTTTTTATTTTTTGTGTATGTCCAGTTTCGCGGGTAGATAGATTAGATGAAGAGTTTGTCGGCCAATTCAGACGATTGAGGTCAAATTTTATAGAACACAAAGTTTAAATAATCGACACATATTTTGCTTTTTCAATTTCAAGTCCTATGTGTTGTCTTTTAAACTAAACTTATTACTCGAGCAAATTTATGTTTTATGTATACATATTTTAAAATAACACAGTACTACAAAAAAGGCCACCGAACCGGCCAGACGATACACAATTTTATATGTACTAAAATAATAAGTCTTGAGTATATACCTCGTTTCGATATATTATTAACAATAAGAAAGGCACACAATTGTCAGCCGTAAGGATATGGAGAAATTATATTAGTTTGGGATCAATAAGAGACGTTAGACTGATAACCTACTGATACCGACCTTGCCTTACAATAATCACAAAACACTACAAAATTATAAATTGAGGACGTAACTACTAACAAATATAATTGGCAAAAACGTAATATTAAAAAAAAAACGCATTCTACACTATCCAAGTGAAACAAAGCAGTCAATGCAAACATGTGACGATCGGCCGAGTTAAAATATTTTAAATCACCCTGTTTAAAATTTATGACACAAATTTATGAAATATACAGAGTTGCAATCATGATTTCACCAACATATAAATAATATGTATACGTTTTATTTTTCAGATTACAAATAAGGCAGACTAGAGACAATGGCTGCTGAGACTGATGGCTACGCCAAAAATGTTGATGATGGCTTTTCTAACAACGTTGCGCCACGTAACAAAAGACGAGATTATGAGTAAGTATAATTAATCAAGTCACACAACTTTTTGTTAAATTTCATATTTAAGTATGATCTTTTTAGTAAAAAGTTTAGTTTAAATAAAAAAACACTAAATTACAAAGATGCATTTAATATGTATCTTACCTTATTGTCTTATTACATTATTATAGCTTATAAATCATACATTTATTTATAATTACACATAATTTAATTTAAAATTACCTGAGGGAATGATAAATTAGCATAATTTCGAAATTATAAATTCTCGTCAATAATTATTATCAATTATTATTGACAAGAATTAACTGTATGTTATTGGAAAATGTCATTTACTCTTTGTTAGTAATTAACGTCAAAATTTGTGAGAATCGATAAATGAATGAACGTTTTATATATAAAACCTACTTTACGTATATTATAAAGATAAAAGTGTTGATTTTCTAGATGTGTGTTTGTTTCGTGAAAAAAATCATAAAATATTCAAGCAAATGTAAATACTAAAATCTCCCTAAATGGCGGACCATCATCGCCAATGATAGGAGGGGGAATGTTAATATATATATAATAAACATTTATTTTAATTCTACAATAATGCTACATTTATCAAGTGTGAAAATATAATTCAATGTAGAAAAATATTTTCATCATTCAATTGTCAGTTCTTAACAACAAGATAAATAATTAAGAATTAGCTTTTGTTTTAGGATATATTTAATAAGGACCCAACACTTTTATGAGACTTTTTCGTAACAAAAATAAAAGGACTAGTTTATTTATCTATAACTTATTAATAATTATAAATTCCTATCGTCTAAATAAAGCTAACGTAATTTCATTTTGTATCTCCTACTATCTATACCACGTCACTAATATAACTTTTTCTCACCTGAATTTATATTTTAATATATTTTTTACTATTTTATTCAGATGGCAAATAGTATGGAGAAACGTTTTAGCGTTTATCTACTTACATGCAGCTAGTATGTATGCACTATATCTTATCTTTACTGGAAAAGCTAAGCTGGTGACGTTTTTATTTGGTAAGTATAAAATCAAATTTTATTTTTGACATAAATTTACACCTATTATCGTCAATAATAAAAAAAACATTAGACATTAACGGTCTTACTAATAAAGATTTATGCACATCGTATAAGCCTGTTATAAGAAAAATGTTACTAATAATTCCTGAATTGATGACATGTTTGATGTATACGGCTGTTATAACAAGTGTCTGATTTGTATGAAGACTTGTACAATGCTTATACAACGCAGAGGCCTAGTTTAACGGGTGTATAAGACAAAAATTGCGTCATTTGATCTGATTTCGCGTTTGACAGCATTTTTTGACTGTTTAGTTCAAGGAAAGATTTAAGTTAGTAGGTATTTGTGTTTGTTGAAAATGGATTTTATAGATCAAATGGAAGATTTAGATAATATTGATATGCAGCTAATACATACGATTTAAGATTTGCCGCCTCCAAGGAAAGTCAAAACATACCAAACTCGGTGCAATCCGTTATTACTTTCGGATGGCGATTTCAAAACAAAATACCGCTTTTCAAAGGAGTATGTTATGAAGATCTGTGACATAGTGCGAGGTGATGTCGAAAAGAGTAATAGAGGTGCAGGGTTTTCGATTTAGGTGTCTTCTTCATGGCTTCGCAGTGTCTTTAGAAAATGCCGAATTATATATAGTAGCACTGGCAATCCTCCACAATATTGCTATTGATATGAAAGAAGACCTGGATATTACGTATGATGACACTGATAATGCTCCAGAAGAAACAAGGTCAACCTAGACGCCCCCAAGCAATCAGGCTGGACAAGCTGCTTGAGCTGCTTTTATTGAAACATATTTTTAAGGCTGTTTTATTTACATAGGTAGTTAAGGACGTGAAATAAATAAAAAGTTATATTATTTTTTTTTTTTTAAGTATATAATTATTCATTTAATTGTTGCTGTAATTATTTGAGCCTTAGAACATGCTCCTGTCTAGCCCATTCGTGAGCTTCAGCAAGTTGCTTCTGTTTGAGCTAATGTGCTTCAGCCATCTGCCTTAGTTTTGTTTCGTGCTCTTCCTGCAAACAGTGGAACACTGCCGTGTTGCGAAGTTTGGCACTTTCCACTATTTGAGATGCCTATAAAATTTAAGTATGATCGTTGAGGGCTTTTAATGAAATAGTCCTTTTCTCTATCACATTACTACTAACCTATCCCAACTTTTGTACTGCAGAACGCTTTTTATGTAAAATTCTAGTCCTCTTTGTTTGAGGTTTTCAAGTTTCTATTAGCTGCAAATAATAAAATGTTATTAGTATATTAAATAAATGTGTATATAATTGTTTTGGTTGATAAAATAAATACAACTTACATTAGAATTATGAGTTGTATCAGAATTATTAAATCAAACGTCAAACAAACGTCGGGTTGCCAGGGTAACAATAAATAAGGGTCGTTTAGTTATTCAAACTCAAACTCAAACTCAAAATATCTTTATTCAAGTAGGTAACCAAGTACACTTTTGAATCGTCAAGTTAAATTAATCGTAAATTTACATTTACACATACACATCGATTATTGGTCAAAGAGGTGTTTATGCCCTGTACAAGCTCTATTCACTGAATATCTATTACCTTGTTATAACGCATGTATTGTGATTTTTTATTAGTAAGACCGTAACATTAGAAGTTTTTTAAATGGTTTTATTTAGCTCACCCCGTTTGTTTTATTCTTGGGTCAAATTTAGTAATTCAAATTTCACCCCTCTTCCTGTCAACCGATTAATCTGAAATTTTGTATACACTTTGGATTTTGGTGACAATACAATAAACTAAATAAATAAATAAATAAATATTATATAATATATAACATTATATTAAAAACTGTATCTATTTTATTAATTAAATATATATTATATTTGTATTATAGAATTGATTTATTTATATAAACTAACGGGCAAGGAACCTTGCAATAATGAAGCACTAAATGAATTAAACAGAATGCGAAATAAAAACTAAAAACTAGAAAATAAAAATAGGTAAAAAAACTTTTTAAGTTAAACGGTTTTATGTTAAACATACATTGCAATGTTTAAGATAAATGTACTAAAAACAAAAAAATAATAAAATAGATACAGTCGTGGGAATTATAAACATATGCATAGACTAGACTAAAATAAAACCGTGGGGCATGTCAATTGTCTGTTGAAACGATTCCTCGCCAGCCAGCAGTGTGAATGTCCAACGATAAACTAGTTGAAACATCTCTTTTATTTACATGGAGTGTATAACTATTGGAATTTCCATGAGCAAGAAAATAGTAAGTAATTTCCTGACCGTCTGCGGGCCAACTGCCTATTTTAACGACGAATTAAACGATTCTTCTATCGCACATTAAGTCGATAATTTGTAGACAATTGACGTGCCCCACGGTTTTATTTTAGTCTAGTCTATGCATATGTTTATAATTCCCACGACTGTATCTATTTTATTATTTTTTTGTTTTTAGTACATTTATCTTAAACATTGCAATGTATGTTTAACATAAAACCGTTTAACTTAAAAAGTTTTTTTACCTATTTTTTTATCTATAAAGCATGCTATTTTTCGACGTCAAAATTGATTAAAATCTGTTCAGTCCCCCATTATACGAGTATATAAAAAAATAATCCGTCTTACATGTTTTTCTATAATCCTTTGTTATTCGTTATAGTCATTGTCGTTTGTCTTAAAAGTGAAGTTGTAGGCCTATGAGTTTTGAAACTCTTGCAAGTTTCTTTTAAATTCCAAATATTCTACGTATTAAGTGTTAAATGTACGTACTGCAACGAAAATATACTTGGCCATGATTTTAGCAAAATCTTGTTTAGTTCGTTTTTTAGACTGTTTCAATCAGCCTTTAGAGAAAGCTGCTCGCCAACATGTTATCACTAATGTATTCATAATCTTGGTTTATTATAAAAAGATGTTCTATTAATTTGTAATATAGATTTAAACATTTATTATTGAAACTGTTAAATTGTATACAAAAGTTTTAAGAAGTGCTCAGATCAAGCTAGACTTAGCGACATTTCACAGAATAAATATTAAAATCTTTGATTTTATATTTATTTTTAAAAGTGCTTTTATCCTTTGTTGTAAGGCGCGTTAAAAAAAATACTAATTAAAAAAAGATAATTATATTGAAGTTGTAAATTAGTGGCTTTCTCGAGAGCTATTGGCTAGTTTAATTATTCTTCAGTATTTCTTGGGAATACTACCAAGAATCTGAGGCGCATAGTAAGCTAGTAATAAGGTTGTAATTTTATAGGGGTAGACTAATTTGTTTAAACTATGGCTGAATTCACAAGAGTAGCTAGTTTTATTATTATTTATGTCATTTAGGAAGATACGAGTATTTTTTCTTTCGTAGAAATTTTGTTACGTAAAACATTTTTGTGTATGTAAATAAATAAAAAATCTTATGTTTCAGCCATGGTTTTCGCTTCTACAGCAGCTATGGGCGTTACAGCGGGCGCTCATCGGTTGTGGGCGCATAGAGCTTACAAAGCTCGGTGGCCACTGAGACTATTCCTGGCTATATTACAAACTATAGCATTTCAAAACCATATTTACGAATGGGTCCGAGATCACAGGTAAACTCGTACATTATAAGCAAGGGTGGATCTCTCAATCACCTTAGAAGGGTCACACAGTCGAAGTTAAAAAAATGTGAATGAGACTATTACTATATTACTGTACTGGGTTTATGTGTTTATATCCAATTTATAACTTAAAAAAGCTGTTTTTCAATACTATCAATAAAATATATAAAGAGACCCTGGATACGCCCTTGATTACACCTAAAGCATAAATTAATCTCTTTTTGTTAGAGGAAGATATCGAGATCTTAGCTTGATAAGGATTATCAACATAACTAAAACTGCGTATTAGCATGATAATAACATGGAGTACTTTACGATGTTTTACTTGATATATGTGAAAGAAATAATATACCTTTTAAAAATAAATACAATTATATAGTTTAATAAGTACGTGACTGTTATAGAGAAGACAATTAATTTTAATATTCTTATTTGTTTATTACTTTAAAAGTTATTACCACTATTGCGACGGCTGTGTATCTCAACAATGGTTAATAAAAACATAAGAAAAGTTAAAGTTAGTCATATATATATATATATGCTAAACATTTACATATACATCCTAATTTATATAACGTAACATAGACATAGTTATCTATATCTTTATTTGACTTCATATCCAGAGTTTTTAAGGCTTAAAAAGGCTTTATTTTTCAGAGTTCATCACAAATACACAGAGACAGATGCGGACCCTCATAACGCCAAAAGAGGATTTTTTTTCTCTCACATTGGATGGCTGATGTTACGGAAGCACAAAGATGTCTTAGAAAAAGGTGCTTCGGTGGATATGTCAGACATTGAAAGGGATCCGATCGTCATGTTTCAGAAAAAGCAAGTATTCTATCTACATTATTTATATTTGTATGTCATACAAAAGGTTTTGTGAATGATGAGAAAAAACATAAAAAGTAAAAATATATCATGCCGCTGTAGTACGATGTTACTTCATAAAAGTCCATCTACCAAAAACCTTCGCGGGCGTATTCATAACAAGTCCACTCCTTCATGATGTTTAGTTTATATACGAAAGATTTGAGCAGTCTTGGCCTAGTGCACGTGCTATCCTTAAACAAGTCGTGCGTTTACATCCTAGCTGTGCACCAATGTATCTATGTGCACTTGCTCGGAAGATAGTGAAATATATTTCCGTCCCAAAAAATCATGTTAATTTTAGAAACAGATGCAAAGATATGCCTAAGTAAGGCACAAGTCTATACCGACTCTTATAATTAAGATTATCGACTACCCATTGTAAAGATACGGACGAACTTTTAAAATGAGACATTTGAATTCGACTACATAATGCTTCTAGGAGATATCTCGGTTTCAAGTTTTGGGTAAAAACGTAACGAAACTAAGCGTAATTACTATTATTTCTTCCAGTTGAAAGGAGAGAATACCTAAAAGAATTGTGTTCATTTCATTATTCACATATCTTGTCATACTGAAAGGATCGAATCGTAAGGCCCTTTCTCCACTGCTCCGGTCCGGCGTCGGATACCGGAATGAGTCATGAGAAAAATATCGGAAGGCCGGATTGCGCTTCTCCAGTATATCCGATCCGACGATAATCGATACTTGTATATTTATCATGCAACACTTATATTAACTAAAACCCATATACTTTATTTTATTAATAAAACGTTCTAAATTCTGAATATTTTATTGCCCTGGCATGTTTATTACTTTTTTTATATTGTCTATCTTATAATATGATAATCTATTTAATAAATAGTTCACTAATACTATGGTTTAAAAATATAAATAAATAGCAACATAATTTGGTTTGGTCCAGGTTATCCAGATTCTTTCAAATTAAAGAAACTATAAATAAACCTGTGAATAATAATTTATAACCTCTTGCATACTTGGATATACTTGAACCGATAAAACACCGCGTTCCGATCTAGCAAGTTATCGGCTCGTTAAAAACCGGATGCCGGAGTAGTGGAGAAGCACGTAAGTACTGCCCTGCGATTCTGTAACTCACTTTTCGAACTCACACAGCGGTTTTCGCATCGGCGGTCGCTCTCAAATCAGTCGTGAAGCAGTCATTTTATGATTTGGCATTCTAATAAACAATAAACTACAAGCTCCCACCTTTTCAGAAACCGAAAACCGCAGTGTGAGTTCGAAAAGTGAGTTACAGAATCGCAGGGCTGTTGTGAGTTTCTAAATCGGATCGGTAATTAACGTTTGCCGGACCGGAGCAGTGGAGAAACGGCCTAAGAGTTTATCTTACATATATAAAATATGAAAATACTGATGTATTCGCATACACTAAATTTGTTATTGATGAAATAACTTTTCTCCAGTCGCGGCTTGATATATTGATTTAGGAACAGTTACACAATTTTTCTTATGATCTTTATGTTCTGAGATATGAAGTATTACTTCGTTTCTTTTGTCATATTATGAAATATATTAATGTAGTAATATATCAATTTTCAGGACTTATCTAGTAGTGATGCCACTACTATGTTTCATCATGCCGACATGGATGCCAGTCGCTCTATGGAACGAGAACGCATGGGCATCCTGGTATGTGGCATCCATGTTCCGCTACACAATATCACTCCATTTTACATGGTTGGTCAACTCAGCAGCCCATATCTGGGGCAATCGGCCATACGATAAGTAAGTATTACTTTCGCTTTTAACTACGGAGAAAGTTATGAGCATAAACGTTGCCCATCTATGATTTAGTGAACTGGTTATGTTATGTTTTAAACCCCTGATCGTCACTTGTTATGGGCAAGTCAGTTAGTATCTTGCTTAACAGCCCAGTCAGGAGTGAAACCCAAAAACGATTCTGTTTGTTACTTTGGTAACTTTTCTATCCTACCTTATAAAGCGATATCAAAGCCCTTTTTGTAATTTCCAGTATCGACGGCTATACCAATCCCAACATTTTTGTATGCAAGTTCGATGTACTTCTCTCGTCCTCGAACCTAGATAAATAAAATCAGTTAGAAATAAGAGCACGATTCGAACACAAAGTCTGTAACAGTAATAAAACATTGGTTTTTGAATTTGGAATGTGGAAGTAATGAGAGATTATATCGTAAAAACGATTGAATGGGACGAGTAAGCACAAGAAAATGTTTACTCACACTGACTCAGTTTTTGGGATTGGAACATTTCAAATTGCACATGCATTTTCATTTATTTTACGGCAATGCATATGTAAATACAATTATATTTATTTTGGTCAACTCCCTTATTCATATATTAATTAAACATTCACTGTTGCTTATACTAATGTTATAGTATAATAGTATAATAAAATGTACCTACGAAATATCGGTCTCTTATATACATTATTTAAAATATCAGAGGAGAATGTAATTAAAAGAAAATAATAGGGCAATGAAAGACCTTTGAGTTTCTGATTTAATGTGGTGAACTTATTTAAATTTTTATGAAACCTAGCCGTTAGTACCTACTTAATAAACAACTATGATTATTTGATTCAGGCTTTAAAATTTGCCCTAACGTTATAAAACGATTATACTGCATATAAGTTTATTAAAGGCGGATTCGATCAAATGCATATTTATCCTGAAGTAACTTATAAAGTAAAAAAGTGCGATTTTACATAGAAAACGTAGTATATGAACTAGGAACAAAAATATCTACCGACTACTATATACGACTACTTTCGATTAACAAGCGCCCAATACGCAGCGACGACTTAGATCTCGTAGACTATAATTATAATTTGCTGATAATATGGAGAAAAATCTATTTTTAATATATAAGATTATAAATTTCTATAATATCTCTAAATATGATAGAAATATATAATCTATACAAAGATTTACTTCCGGTTATTACTCAAATCAGTCTAGGAATGGAATGGAATATTTATGAAAATGTATACCTAGCATAGTCATTATAATAGATAGGTGAAATCCGGCGCGAATAACACATGCTTGCTAATATTAGAAAAAATTGACTTTGTATAAATTACAATGGCTTTAATACTATTTATTATTATTTTATCAATTTTCGTATTATATTGTACAATGCATAAAAATACCACTTCTTTGGATAACCAAAGATAAATTAAATATATAAATCGTCTACAGCATAATGTACATGGCAACGTTTGCTACTTACAGATACATAGGCGCCACAGATCATAAAGTTGTCGCGATGTTAGCCTTTGGAGAGGGCTGGCACAATTACCACCACGTGTTCCCGTGGGATTATAAGGCAGCTGAGCTGGGAGATTATAGGACTAACCTCTCAACAGCGCTAATAGATTTAGCTGCGAAGTGGGGTACGCAATAATTTCACTATAGTTTCATATGTCCAAACTAATGCCTCCTTGCTATAGCAGGGTTTTTATTTGCCTGCGATAAATTTTAAAGCAAGGTTTACTACTGTACTACACTATTATAGGAAATCTACTTACATCACTTTAAAGCTGATGTAGTCATTGTTGTTCGCTATCGCTTGGTTTCAATATCTTACTACAAACTAGTCATATCTTTTCCATGACATAGAATTTTGAAACATACATTGCATTACATTGCATTACCATAATACGAACTCATTTTTCAATTTATCAACATATTAACGTTTAATATTCCGTAGGTCTAGCATACGATTTAAAGACAGTTTCCATGGAGATGATACGGAAACGAGTTACAAGAACTGGAGATGGAACTCATCCATTAGGAATGAAGAATGAAGAAGACGACCACCATCATCCTGAGAATCCCATTTGGGGGTGGGATGACACGGATATGCCGGAAGAAGACCGAAAGTTAGCGGAAATTGCTAACAAAGAGGACTAAAGAAATTAACAAAAAATGATTAAATAAGAATTTATTTATATTGTAAAGTGTAAATATATGTGAAATCTGTTAGAAGTAAAAAGAAAAATCGCGAATTCCTCGTTGTTGGTAACTCTAAATGTCCACCTACGTTCCACCTACCAAAATGAGTATTACGTGGAATTTTTCTTTCTGTACCTTATAATTAGCATTAGGATAATGTTCCTTAAATTATGGGATTATGGTATATTAATTTTGGTTGTGTTGACTACATAATATAAGGTTCATATTTATATTTTGTGATATAGATTGATTATAAGTCGATTGATTTTTATTTTAGGTTAAAGAAAATGTAACAATATTTTGTATTATACTAGACATGTTTTGTTATAGAATAGAAGGGATACAATAAAAAATTCATAAATTATTACTTTGCTTTATTCTCATACAATTACAATCTTTGTATCGTTTTACATACTAATTATATTCATATCTTTAGTAAAATCATTAAATTATTTACCCAAGAAACAATTTACTACGAGGAAATTGGAGAATATAATTATAGAAAAAGATCCTAGAGCTTACAATAATGTCTCTGCGTTCCTTCTTTCTACGAACTACTTCTTATTCCTACATTTATAAATAATATTATTACACCTGAAACTATAATTTATATCGGAGCAATGGCCCTGGTACAGCTTTGTTGTTCCGACATATACAAGGCAAGAACTAATTTACACATTAAAGAGGAAAAGCACCGGCTTATTCTAACATTACAGACATACTTTTAGTAAAAATGGAAGTAACGAAATCACACAAATAAAATTTTAGGGGGGTTTTGTTAGTTTCGTCTCGAAAGAATAATTTCCTATATCCATGTAGACGAAGTAGTAGCCCAAATCCAATTAAAGAAAAACTATCGAAGTTACAGAATATTTTAGACGCCTATCTAAAATTAATAGCAATCAGTGACATATAAAACAACTTGGCAACTTCATCTGTTGCTTGCAGGTGGCCATTTGTAGTTGGGCTTCAGCCAATCAGTTATACTCGGTACTTCACCAATTATCTGGACGTTCTTTACCTTTGAGGGGCTATTTTGTGTGTTTTTCAACCAGTCTGCATTGAATGGATATGAGATACCGGTGCTGGGATCCACTCCTACAAGGTGGTAGTCCTTTGTGTCGTGGGTGACCTCTGTGCTGTATTCAGTTACGTGATTGGGTGCAACGACCTCATCTACATTTTCCGATGGTGCGTTCGCCAAGGGATCATATTTGGGTCTATCGTAGCCGAATCCATATCCAGCATTTAGATAAATTACCTTTTTCGGATAATTACGGTCGTTAAAGGCATTATTTCTTAAAAGCATGAGCACAGCTCCGACTAACGCCATATTATTAAGCATTACTGTAGCCATGGTAGCCATTTTAAGTGTAGGCAAGAAAAATGGTAGAATTGCAGACATTACTATTCCGGGGAGAATTAGGAAAGGCAAAGCTTGGTAGAACGTCTTTGTCATCTTTTTTGTGCTTGTCCGTCCGTTGTTTGCGTCTTTATCTGAAATTTTAATGAACACTTTGAAATGGTTTCAGTTTTGATTTATTGGAGCCTTAAAGATGTGCTCATTTAGCTTAATTAACCTTAAACTTTTAATTATTGTTTAAAGTAAGTTGACATACAATTTATATGCGCACAATTTATATTTCCTTATATAAATAAGAAATAAAAATGTCGACAAGTAAAGAACATATATGAGAAGCGCTGTTATCTTACTACCGTATTACACAAGGATTATATGCACGCAACATATATTGCATGTATCTTTTTATATATACCTTCATAAATTTTGTATTCTATTAACGTTTGATTTATTTATCTCGCATCGCTACACATGTAAGGAAGTATCTTGTTACATGAAATTCCTGCTTTCCTTCCGCTTTTAAAATATTAAATTATGACTTCAGAACAAAATTTGTTTGGAGCACCCGTAAAATAAACAACAGCAAATATTTAATGGCCTTGTATTGAAAGCGAGTAATAAGAGAGCAAGAGCGAGTAGCAAGAGAGCAAGAGCGAGTAGCAAGAGTTAATTTAAGATAATGCGAAATAATACCTTTTTACGAGAACCTTCAAAAAGTTTTTTTTTATAGAACAGGGGGTAAATGTGCAAAAGGCTCGTTTGATGTTATGTTTTCACTTTCATTCATCATATCTGATGCCCATGAAAACTCTCAATGCCATCTCTGCATTTGCCGGCCTTTTTAAGAATTGGTATGCTATTCTTAAAGGACCCTAAGTCGAAATGATTCGGAAATACTTCAGTGGGAAGCTGTTTCCACATAGTGGTGGTGCGCGGCAATAACTGCCTTTAAAAACACTCAGTTTACGTTCAGTCTACAAACTAAAAGCGTTTGTTACTTCACGATTTCGATTATTTAAAATCGATTATGATTTGAAAGATATTATATTTTTTTGTTTTTTATGTAATAGGAGGTTCACCTGATGTTAAGTGATATCGCCACCCATGGACACTCACACTGCCAGAAGGCTCGCAAGTGCGATATTATTTAGAATTTATGAATTGGGTTAATATTAAACAATAATTACTTTCTATGACGTCGAAATTAAGCGAGTTATTTCCCGTAGACTTCATCTTCAGCGTGTAGCGATCTCCAAGATCCATAGTTAATGGACGATAGCGTAACAGCCTCTCTGTACCATCACACAACCGTGAATATAGTTCCTCATCAGTATGGTTAACATAATCAATCCAAATAAACTCATTTAGATCCGGTTCGAGAGCCCTTTCCGCCTTCCATACACCGAAAGCGACAACACATTTTGACAAGCCATTCTGTATAACACAATTTGTAACATCGCGAAGTAGTTTTGTATTTTTTGTTTCGCGTAAGCCATTAGTACATGTGGCGAGGAAGAAAATCGCGACGATTGCTCGCATAGTTGTAAGCTAACTGCGCGAACTGGCTTTGCTAATGCGCGGCGCCCCCTCTCTTATAAATAAAGTTGTTCTAAACAATTGACTATTACGGTTAAAGAAATCGAAAGCTAAAGGAAATGATACATATTATACATTATTTATTTAGTTTATTGCACTTTGTAATGAAAAGTGAGGCAATTTCATAACTATAATCGAATAACATATTTGGTCTTTACGCAATAAGAAACTTTAATTTAAACACACTTTCCATGTTTTGTTATATATGTCTAGATCGATTCGTTCGAATTGTGAGAAACAAGTGCAGAATGCAAAAGGACGATCGTGAATTTCTCCAAAATCGGCGCAATGCTTTGACACGCCGAACACACATCTGAAAACCGTTTTGAGGGAAAGTTTCGCATTCTTTGTTAGCAGGAAATGGCCTATATCTCAAATGCAGCGGTAATTAGCATACACACGGTCACGGACGAGGTGTCGCAGTGGGCGCTTGGTCGACGAACTAGGTTTCTCTACGTGACGCGATTTAGTATGAAAAATGTGTCTCGCACGCATCTCGTAATTTGCGTAATTATTCAAGCGCATTAATTGTCTTTCGTGTCACTTTAAATATTTTCTATATCATGAACACCGCAACAGAACAAGCACCCAGACAAAATGTTTGGTCGTACAAGATCCCAGTTCTAGCCTTTTCGGTAATACTAAAAACTTAGTACATCATGTTATTATATAAAAAAAACAAAATTCGATGCTATTACAATGTTTTACAATTTAATGTTTCTTACTTTTGCTAAAACGTTTAATATTGTTATTCGTAAGTGAATCCTGTCCTTCAGTTATTCAAATTAGCGATGGATAAATAAATCTTTTAGAAAAAACTTTATTGAAAATTTTCTAAACTCTTACCCTTGTCTAGATGGCAACATATTTTAATAAATAATTTTTCGGATATCTTGCCAAACACAGTAAAGCCAAGATATCTATAGACATAGTTTATTAGTTAAAGTTTCATACAATCATAATCGTACTCACCTGTGAAACCCACGTATGAAATAAGCAGGTAGATTATGGTTCTTAAGAACTTCATTCACCCAGTAACAAACGCTGTTGGCCTGAAGGGCCTTGATAGTTCAGCTGGGGCTCTTTTGGCAAGCGTAGCTCTGGCGAAAAGAAGCAACAAACGCATAAATAATCTCACTATCATATCTACCTAACGAAATCGGTTGAATCATTAAGTATTTACGAGTAAATGTTATGTATATGCATACAAACTTGGCTCTTGCTGGTATATCTATTCTTATTAGACTTTAGTTAATTGAATTTCGGTACGAAATTAACATAAAATAAATTAATGATAATAAGTTTCCTTGGGTTTTACATCCTACATCGAGGTTCACATACTGGTTTTATAAACTAAGACTATAAAGAATAATCTTTATGTAATCAATCCACAAAACGTCGAACTAAAGGGTTGTGATGATCAAATGTTAAGACATATTCCGTACCTAAGCCAGGTGAATGCCATTGCGGACCCAGAGGGCTAATTATTGTGTAGTGCATTTTTAGTAGTTTCATAGAGGATTTTCAGTTCCAGCCCCACAGTACGTACTCACCTCAAGTCAATAAGCAATTCCAAAGGGTGCGACTTCGGTTGTCGTGCGAACTCGGGGCCTTTGCTGTTGTGTTGCTCGTAATATTGTGAGACCGTGGATTCAGTTCTAGGTGAAAGAACGCTACTTAGGCGATAGCAGTCAAATATTGATCCTTTTGTTGACAAAAATATGTTCAATTCTCAAATTTTTTGTGGGTTACTGAAGTTGTTCTATACATAAACACTTCAGTACACACTCTGCTTCCGTGTTCCAAAGTTGCCTCTGGTAATTAAGCCATAATAAATATGTTCTATTAACTGTCACTTTCGCGAATACGTGCATAGATAACAATCAGAGGATGTTAAAGGTACACCGTTAATGATTTGACATTAGTCCTTAAAAGTATGCAGTTATTGGGGTCGAAATTTCTACGGCACGATCACGTTGTCAATCGCTTTCTTTTCGATTTACTTTGCCCATTGTCTTCCGCAGGACACTTTATATCCTTCCAATCGATCATATAGCCAGCAGTCAAATTCAAACAGCCGAGTGATCATCATCATTTTTGTAAGCCCTTCAAGATGTGTAAAATTTTCGGAGTTCTAAGCTTGGCTTACGTCGCAGTTTTTGCGTTCGCGATGGTGAATTGTGAGGATGTGTCTGAGAAGGGATATTTGGATTATCTAAGTAAAGGTAATAATGGAGTGCTGCTGAATAGTTAGAAATCGACGTAATATAATCTTCTATAATGCATAACTTCATAGATATTACTAAATATTTCAGTAATTTATTGCGTGTTTCTGTGTAATTATTCAAACGAAAACTTTCATGATAAATGTTTGTATCTGTTAAACGGCGTTAATCTGTAAAAAGTAGAAAGAAACATTAATGGACCTCTCCAATCGGTTCGTAAAGTAAATATAAAGTAATAAGTATAACAGCGTGATAAGTAACACCGAATATATGCTTTTTTTTTCAAGTAAAGAAGTGAATAATATTTTTTAAGTGATAAATTATTTGTGAAATTACTAAAATAAAATATAATCATCTCTAACAATTGAATTGAAAAGAGTGAACAAAATATTAAAAGTGTTTTATTAAAAAGTCACCGTGACCACGCACGCTGTAAAGCACGCGAAACGTCGGATAAATTTAAAATTATGTTAAATAATTGTAAATTTATAATAATACATAACTTAAATCCGGTAAAAAGTTTTTTTTTAAATGTGTAAAGGTTATGTTAATAAAGACAATACTAAGTGTTTTATTAAACATATTTCATATTTACAATCAAGTATACAGCATAATATACAATTTTATTTTATATCTCCATTAGTTAATTATCTTCTTTTTTCTTTCAGATAACAGCGTCGGCAGAACGTTTGGCCACAATGCTCTCAAACGACTGTCCTTCATCTTCTTACCGGTGATGTTCACTCTGGGAGTCATCTCTACTCTGTTAATGGCGCTGGCCGTGATATCAGTCAAAAATCTTGCTATTGGTGTCATGCTTTTAATTGTAACAGTCAGTCAGGTAATTAAGCTTCCTTTTAAGATAGGTACAATCATAAGGAACTATTGAAAATGTTTATTTTCCTATTTTCTAACAGTTTCTATTTAGTATATTATGTATTACAATTATTTTTTTATTATTGATTACTTCAATTTAAATTGTTGTTCAATAATAGTTGATCATAAGCCTACGGCTCCGTCGAACTAAATAAATGGTACAGTAGCTTATAAGTGATTTTTTTTGACAAACCAACCAGGGAAAAATGGAGGTAAAAATAGTCATGGGTAAATGAAAATCTCATTTCACCACATATATAAGACATAAGCAGTGAGTTGTTTCCACCTAAAATTACTACATTTTTACAGGCTGTTTCCCGACTATTCTCAGCAGCAGCACCTGCTGCACCCTTGGTATTCCACCCACGCGCTGAGGTCATCCCACCAGCTCTACCAGCTCCTTGGCCCGTAAATGGCCCTTTGCTATCACCCTGGGGTAGATCCGACAACGAAGCTATCATCGAATAAACTCGAATTCCAATGTCTCATTAAGGTTCCATTTGCACCTAGTTATCGCTATACTGCCATAATAACAGTCTTGACAGATTTGAGTGATAAAGATATTATGCTGATAAAAATTAAACTAAGCATATAGAACCGTAAATGCGATGCGCGCTCAATACATTGGGAATTGCAACGCAATTTATAAGAGAATGAATAAACAGTGTTGTTAAAGAGGATCATTTTCGATATTTAATTTCTCTGCTATTCAAGGTATTGCTGTATTTCTTTTTTAAAATTGTAAATGGAAACCTTTTTGACTGTTATCAGCTTTTGGACAGATATTTTGCATTTAACTAAAGCATTGTGTATGAAAGACATTAAATGCATTTGCCTTTGTCTGTATCCCATGCTAGTCGTGGAAGACAGACGACGATGACTAGAATAAGATTATTTATTTATCCAATAAAGTATTTTAATTACTTTTTGTGTTGTTATTAATAATGACTTTGACTTTTTCGTATAAATTATTTCAATTGTCTGGAACTTACTGTCTCTTGTTTACCTTTAGACATTGTATCTGACAATAATATATGATGGAGTAACAAAGAAAACTCAGACCAATGAAACTATATAGAAATAGAAAGTTAAAAATGTGGGAATTATTCTTAGAAAATCAAGCGTAAGGAATACATTCTATACAATTATTAGACATTAAATGGTATTTGAAGACACAGTTGCTGCGTATGTATCCGTAACGCTCTGATTCATCATCACAATATCACGAACACAAAATTGATCACTATAATCTACATATACAAATGTAAATTTCATATTTATTTTCAAGACATTAACCAAACATTTCCAAACTTAAAAATATTTTTTATAGCAAATCTACGTCCCCTTTAAAAAGATCTGAACGGCTTGCGATTCAATGAGCAACGAGTAATATTAATCGATTGTAAGTTAGCGGGTATGGTTTCAATTTCTAACCAGTTTAATACAGGTTCCATTCTAAATAGGTAAAACTTCCCTGCATCGATGTATATCTATCTAGAGACAGGAGAAATTTCACTTCATTGAAAAAGTTGTTAGCGATACAAAACCATACTAAGAACAATCGAGAAATACGAAAATATTTCTATTACGGTCTGCTTATTTATGTCAATAATGGAAATAAGAACCTTTTGTCTTAAATTTACCAATAAAATAAAAAGAGAAAGCTATGACAGAAACTTCGATTACATAAAATGTTTCCTTATTAATGTTATGCATGAAAGCTCTATTATTGGATAGATCCATCGGCCATCGACACATTTCTAGCAAATCTATTTTCGTATCAGTAATTGGTTTTCCACGAAAAAAAGAAACAAATTTATGTAAGGAGTAAAACAGTTTCTGATATTGATTATTATAGTAATGTATTTTGGCGGAATGCTCGTGGCTATTGTAGCAGAACTTAGCTTTTCTAATGTCGTTGACTGCAAGGGTGGTACGAGTAAGGAGGGGCACGGTAAAAACATTGGTATCGCGGCCGTGACAATGAACGGACATTGCGTGCTGCGTTTGCTTATTATACTCACTATAGCATTGTGTCAAGTCTCCTGCAATGATACACAGCATATACAAAGACTGGAGATATATGATGGTGTATACGCAAAGATTCCAGATGATAACAACACGGATAGCGCAATTTCCTTTGAGGTAGACCTTGGCAAGGATGTGGAAAGTGGTAAGTGAATTACTTACACCGTAATTATAGAAATTAAAGGATGAATAACTTAGAAATCATATGTTAATAAATAATAATTGTTCATAAATCTCTTCAACACTGTCAATCTGTATTGTCTGTCTCTAAACAATTTGTTTGACGTCATCCATAAATCCATTTTCTTTTATTTACAATAATTGCCAGTACAAACAAAGCATTGTGCGTCAAGAAAATGAATTAATACCGAAAGTAAATAGTGTAAAAGAAAATCGAGAAGTTATTAAAACATGGGGATATTAGTCGTTCTTTTAATTCACATGTATTAAACATTAAGAAAAATTACTAAAAGAAATAGTTTTATGAAATATTTTACTGTTCATGCACTAATGGATAACGAAATTAGTATAAAACGTGAAGCTACAGGTAATCTAACAATAAAAAATAAATGTAATGTACAAACATGTAATAAGAGAAAGTTTTATCTTTTCGGATTTATTCACTTTATAAATTATATTCCTTCGAATAATAACAATAATCATTTGTGGTCCTATTTCTAAATTCTTTTGCAAAAAACGGGCACCTATGAAAATTTACGTTCAAATGTCGATTTCAGTTTATTAAATTCTATTAAATTCTATAGCCCTCTTAAGGAAGGTTCCATTTTTATGGACGACAATGATCGCCCGCACCGTTCTAGCGACGTGGAAGCGTACATACAAGAAGTTGGGATCCGTCGTTTAGATTGGCCAGCTCGGATTCCTAACCTAATTCCAATTGAACATATTGATGTTGTAAAAAGACGAGTAAGACCAGCCTTGCGATTCTGTTACTCACTTTTCGAACTCACACAGCGGTTTTCGCATAGGCGGTCGTTCTCAAATCAGTCGTCAAGCAGTCATTTTATGTTTTGGCATTCTGATAAGGTGGGAGCTTGTAGTTTATTGTTTATCAGAATGCCTTGATGATTTGAGAGCGACCGCCGATGCGAAAACCGCTGTGTGAGTTCGAAAAGTGAGTTACAGAATCGCAAGGCTGTGCAACCAGCTCCACAAAACATCAGGAGTTAAAAGAATTATTGCAGAATAGTGAGAAAATATTACTCAAAACGTTACTAAAAACATCGTGGAAAGCATACTCAGAATGATTAAAGCTGTAATTTTGGCAAGAGTAGGTCACACTTGTTTTTAAGTTTTTCATTTGTAACTTTATTTCTTTTAAAAAAGTTTAAAAAAATCGTCTTCTCTGTATTGCCGATCTTATAGTTAGGCCGTGAACGTTGGTTTAAAAAATCATCAAAAATTGCTAGAATTAATTTACACGATTATAAGTATACAGACTACGTTAGAGAATGAAATTCCATAAAATTAACTGTAATTGGCCTTATAACGTAAATTTCCTAAAGTACCCGTTTTTTGCAAAAGAGTTTATATACCACGACGTGTTGTTTATTTTCTCTAGTATTTTCTGAATTTGGGGTTTTTAATTAAGTTACTTAATTTAAATGCGATCATCGTTTTACTTAACTGACAGGAGCTCTAAACTACTTTCCGTTACTGTACCTAGCATGAATAGAATATAAATGATTTCATCGGCTTATTTGTATTAAATAAACATTATTCAAACCTCAATTTATAAACCAAATTGAAATTCTACGAAAGTAAATTACTGAATGTAATTGTTGTTACACAGAGATCTATTTTATTGAGTCTTGATAAATGTTAAATTTACAACATTATATATTCTACGTAAAGCAAAGGTCTTATATTTTGAATACGTATGTCTCAAAGAAAACGTACACACGTCTTTTTCTTTAACTGTCAGGATAAATATAGCACAAAAAAATATATAACAAATTTTATTCAAAAGGAACATAGTAGTTACTCGCTGTATAGCGATGCTAATGTCTCGGAGTATCTGTGATGGTGGCTGTACACACTCGTCGAGACACCTCGAGACAGGCCGAGTGCGAGAGTGTACAGTAGAGCTCTCGTCTCGTCTCGCTTCCTCGCAGTTGGTCTCGCCTCTCTCGGTCGCCTGTCGGTTTTTTGCGCACGAGTCAAAGGGTCTCGCGAGTAAAACGAGAGCGACCTGTACACACTCGTTCAATCATTAAATTTTGAATAATATTAAAACTTTATGATCCTAATTACCAATTTCTGTTGCGGTGTATAGTGCCCATCTTCTTCTTCGCCATGGCTTTGTATTTTTTTTAATGGTTAACGTGAAGAAAATTATAATAACTCATTGCACAAAGACAAACAGCAGCAGCAGTTGCCACGTCCATTATTAACGGTGTTTTAAATACAATTAACGTAACGAATGTGTACAGGCTGCGCTCTTCTCTCGGTCCTCATAAGGAAAGTACCACGTATGGCGTTCTCGATTCTGTTGACGGCACAGCAGCTTCAGTCTGAACATAAAACTGTATAAGTATTGTGTTTGTTTACATAAATTCTATGTAAACAAATAGTAACCGGATAGTAGCGTTTAAGTTTTCAACAAATTATGTACTTGTACTTCATAAAACGAGGGAAGACGCATTCATGGATTAGCTAATCTCCCTCAGATTAGCTAATCCATGAATGCGTATCATAAATCTATCAGATGTAGTCCAAATATAAAAGATGATTTAGTGTTATAATAATTACTATTGATAAATATTTTCAATTTCAGGACGTGGAAAGCAGAAGAAATTATTGGAGAGACTTTTACCAATGATGGCAATGCCGTTTATAATACAATCCATGGTCGTGCCAATTTTCCTCGGAATGATTAAGTTTATGCTATTTAAGTCTCTAATAATCGGTAAACTAGCTTTAGTATTGATTATAATTAATGCGTTTAGAAACAGTAATAGTGTGAAGGGACGTGACGCAGACTTAGCAGCGATAAATTACGGATTCAGTGGTCATGAAAACGAATATGAAGGTGCTTATATTAATGTCAACAGAGACAGTTTAGGTTAGAAAGTGTATTTTCAATTTAACATTAGTTTGTTACTATAAGACTGATGCCAGTCGACACATTTCGAAAATGCTACGTAGCTTTTTCTATAGAAAAAATGACAGCCAATTACTTGCTTTAGAAAAATCTAAGCCTCGCAGCATTTACGAATTATAATTGGATTATTGAATCTTTTGTCAGTTCATACATCTTCACTCACGCTCCAATATGTACTAAGATTTTTAATTGTTGTATTTAAGTTATAGATCTTGCAATAAATGTAAATATTAGAAGCACATTAGACCCAAACTTAAAAGAATAAGAGTAAGAGTCTAATATAGGTCTACCACGATCTGATGGCAAAAAGGGAAAAAAGAAATTGACGCTAGCAATACTGGGGAAATTGGAGAAAAACGTTTTGATACTTATTTTTCCTTATAGCGGCTGACTGTGTGTGATACATGCAAATATAAAATTTTATCCAATGATCAAGGATCCAATCCAATCAAATTTCAAAAATCCAATTTTTGAAAATTTTACTGTGGCGAATGATGATGTGGGGTTTGAAATTTAGATGAAAACTCCAATTACTCTGTTCATGAGTTTATTAATTAATTAATTTATTTATTTATTTTCTCCACATCACTATCTTTACAGGATAACCTAATACAATAGTGTGGTCCTTAAATCTAACATATCATAATAGAAATAAATTAAATCACTCCCTGTTACATTTTGTATATAATGATAAAGAAATGCTTAAAATTGGTGAAATAATAATTACTTAGACTAAAGGAATGAACGTAAATATTTTTAAAATATTACATAAGTCTTGAATTTTAATGTTACAATAAAATTGTATTTTGTTTTGAACAATGTAAATATTAATTATAACATAACGTGCGATTTTTGTGAACTCACTCAGGGAACATGTAAAAAGATCTGTGCCGTCCGCTACTTCATTGAGTATATGTAAGGTGCGCGTTATAATTATAGGCTATTAGAACTTGAAAATGTTTCCAAATACTGCACATCCATAAAAAAGTCTTCATATAAAGAGGAAGACGCAGTATTTAATATAAACCTATCCTCCTGCATCTCAATTAACTGATCTTGTTCTATGAACTGATTTTCAATTTTTATTACATGTTCACAAGATTTTCGCCATTCATCGATCCCTACTTGAGAGTAAGCTTCTTAAATCTCTTCTCTGTTAAAAATTTTATATCACTTGCAGGTCTATTGACGTTTTTACCCGCAAGTTTTGTTTCATTATTCCCCAGATTAATTCTATGGGGTTTAACGTATAATGATATGGCGGGAGCCTCAAGACTTCGTGGCCGTGTTGATTTAAAAATCTCATCTATCTGATATTTAGGGTTTTTTTTCCATTCTAAATCAAAACAATCCAAGTTTTTTTTTTTAGAAACCCCTGAAATAAACCAAAGTTTATATAAGTATATAAGTACATAATAATACATATAATACACACGAAAATCGAATAAACCAAAATATCAAGACGTGTCATTCCTACTAACCAGTCAACACTTGCACATGGCTCAATATCGATGATTGTGTATGTTCTGCACCTTGTTGATCAAGTATTATATTATAGTATTATATATATATATTTCTTGCTTGCGATCGAAGAGGTTTCTTTGACATTTTCACCACTTTTTAAAGGAAATTTGAAGCCAAACCAAAAACAATTCCTCGAAATTTCAGATGACAGATGAATTTTTTTTTGTTGCCACATGAAAATCGCAAATTTTTAAAAAAATTTTTGCTATCAGATTCTGGTAGACCTATAGTATCACTAATGAGTTACATCGTCCATTGTACTACAGAGTAGATAGGAAGAACTACATTATCCCATCGGATATTTCTATTTATTTTAGGGAAAAAAAGAAAGTCTCAACAATTTTAAATTGTTAAAAACACTAAAGTTTGTATCGGACATGGAACTGACATTTCTTAATTTTTCGCAAATCATTGTTTTTTATTGTCACTGCATAAACTGAGAGTTGGTTTATGAAGTTGGAAAAAGCTACTTTTAATGTTACATTTAAGTTATAATTAATCTTCGTAATTTATCTTTAGTATTGTAAATTCAGTAATTTACTTCCAGCTGCTGAAAATTATGTTAAATCATCATTCATTAATAATATCTAAAAAAATAAAACAAAAGAAACATGAGGTCATGAAATTCCTTTTACAATCCAATTTGGATTTGTCAGTCTGATGACTTCAACATATTCCCTCTACTCGCAATAGGGCGTACATACCTTAGAGTTTTCGTGAATATATTTATATATTTATTAAATGTCTAATTCATTCAGTTCCCTAAAATTAAACAAATATCCTGTATAATAGCAGTATCACATAACGCAATGCATATAATATAACGTGAATGTGTTGAAACTGTACCAACAGAAACATGGCGTTCATACTTAATTTTAATTTCGAGTAACAGTAAGAACACGTTACGCGTACCTCATAAGAGGTATATAAAACATGTGCAGAATTCCTAAAAGCTTAAAAATATTTAACATTATGACTTTAATAATCTGTTAATAAATGTTGTTTGTGTTAGTGTGTGAGTGTGAGACTAAACTATCCACTTTTAGTCTATTCTTTATGATCTTAATTTATTTAAGTAATAAGCTTATACCTACGTCAATTGTGCGTTCTTTTACCAAAAAATAATTAAAATATAAAAGTTTCCTTTTTTCTTCCTCACCTACACCTACGCCTTATCTGAAGTTATAAAAAATGTGTAATACCAATTCATTTATTTAATAACACACAAATATAAAGTATTTACAATTCTGAATATAGTAATAATAACAATACATAAAAAGAAAACTACAATGAATTAAAAAAGTTCCTGTGGCAGTGTAACTTTTATGCTGGCATCATTCACGCACTGTATTGCGATACTCATTCGTTGAGCGAGAAGAGCTGGTGCCCTGGGGGTCTCCGGCATTATCAACCAGGCGCCAACTTAAATATTATTTAATTTTAATACAGGCGCCATACTTATACTTCACTATACACTACAGGCGAGTTGGAACTATAAGGTTTAGGATAAGAAGAAAAGTATAATTTAAGTACATTAATACTATAATAGATATTAGTATGAATGGAATATGCAACATTTCTGAATAACTCGATACCTGAACATTATAAAATGAATAACGACAAGTTTTCAGACTTATCTCATTGATGAACAAAATATTTAATACCAATTGCATATAAGGGTTACCTTTTGTTGAAGTTCGACCTGGATCTTAAAAACCATAACCGAATAGGGTTATCTTCGATCAAATATAGACAAGATTACAACTGATATTTTTATCTCAAACGAAAACATTTATACTGACTACAATATTATATTGATATCTATTTTTGCGATCAGGTTTGAAGTTCTACGGTTGTTATACCTGTTTTAGAAAATTCAACAATATTCTAATCGGAGAAACATTCTAAGGTTGTGAAGGTGGTGATTATGTAAGTATAAACGTTTAGTCGTCACTTCGTCTACAACTTCAAAACAACCACGACGGTTAGGTACGTTTACGCAGTTCGCAATTGAAATTTATCGTTGTGTCGAAATATAACATCGATCGATTTCTATTCATGGCTCAATGCATTTGTCAATAGAGTTAATTTTTCGTGAAGTGTTTGTGAACATTACAAAATAGGGTAAGTACTTTCGGTGTATTAAGACCCTAAATGCGAAAGTGGTACTTTACCCATAGCATAAACGTTCAATATAAATAAATATATTTACTTACAAAGTTTAAACTGCAATTTATTATCTCTTTCCAGTAGCCCTTAAGTAAAATCTAACTAATTAGGTACATTGAAATAATCTTAACGCTTATTGTAGTGTCATGATATACGGATCGTTGGTACATAACACGGATGGATGGTAATAAACAAAACTGCATAAATTATACTTATTAAGACTGTTCTGAAGTTCAACTCTTTTTTATATTTCGTCTGTTGCTTCATGGTTATAAAAAGTAATGCTTGATCAAAGTTTAACGCGTTCAAAGCTAAACTAAATATATACCGAAATATTACTTAAACTACAATAATGAAATCATAATACTAAAAATACAACTTTTAACAAATAATGAAGTTTACCTTATTTAAGAATAAATATCTAGAAGTAGTTTGTTATTTTCCTTAAAGGCACAATTTTTTATTTATTATTGCAATAAATTTAGCTTGTTTTGTTTTTGTGAAAATTTCCCCCAAATTAAAATAAAAAATAATATTCTAGTCGTTGGGCACTAGTAGAATGTGGCTCCATAAAAGTCTGATTCGATAATAATAGGAATGAGACCAAAAGTACTATCGCCAACTCATTAGAAGATCATTTGCTCGACACCTAGCTTTCATTAGTACAAGATTTTCTCATAGGCACCCGTACTATCGACTGGAAATTTAAAATGATGTCACTTTACGATCGGAGATCGCCGGTAGAAGAATAGTAACCTCTTATAGAATATTAACATTGTCGTCCCTTATTCATTCCCTGGGTTTAAAATCAGCAGATTTTTCCAAATTCCGTCTGAAAAAACCAACCAACTCCTAGTTCAAACACCTCTTATTCGAATTCTTCGCGAATATAACAGAATGAACACTACTTATCCAGAGCTTGACATAGTCGGTAGTGGGCTGATCAATTAAAAAAACCAAATCCGCTGTTTTTTTAATTTTTATAGAAATTATTTTTTTTAATTTTTTGTAACATTTACCACAACTGTCATATCTCTTATTTTAGATAGCTTTTAACTTACTAAACTTAGTAAGCCAGTAAGCATAAAAAATTAAAGTCTTACAAGCTGACTGTAGCGCTTTTCGGCCAGGACAGACTTACTGGCTTATTAACATAACACAAAACACCGGTTTATGTCATATCCCGTACATAACCTCATAGACTGAATATAATTGACAGTACTAAATTTAGGAATATAATTTAATACCTGTGAATAGTTTCAAATGGATAATTTTATGAGAAATATTTTATTGGATATTTTATTGTCCGTTTTGTTTACATCAACAATAAGCAAAATGGCGTCGTATATTAAGCCATACTTACTGCGTTAGCACTTATTTTGTGTCCCGGCCGAAAATTTTGTAAGCATAGTAAGTGACTTACTAAATTTAGTAAGTACTTACTTCGGCCGAACACGCCCATTGTCTGTCTCTAAACAATTTGTTTGACGTCATCCATAAATCCATTTTCTTTTATTTACAATAATTGCCAGTACAAACAAAGCATTGTGCGTCAAGAAAATGAATTAATACCGAAAGTAAATAGTGTAAAGAAAATCGGAAGTTATTAAAACATGGGGATATTAGTCGTTCTTTTAATTCACATGTATTAAACATTAAGAAAAATTACTAAAAGAAATAGTTTTATGAAATATTTTACTGTTCATGCACTAATGGATAACGAAATTAGTATAAAACGTGAAGCTGCAGGTAATCTAACAATAAAAAATAAATGTAATGTACAAACATGTAATAAGAGAAAGTTTTATCTTTTCGGATTTATTCACTTTATAAATTATATTCCTTCGAATAATAAAATAATCATTTGTGGTCCTATTTCTAAATTCTTTTGCAAAAAAAAGGACCTATGAATACGTTCAAATGTCGATTTCAGTTTATTAAATTCTCTTAGCCCTCTTAGGAAGGTTCCATTTTATGGACGACAATGATCGCCCGCACCGTTCTAGCGACGTGGAAGCGTACATACAAGAAGTTGGGATCCGTCGTTTAGATTGGCCAGCTCGGATTCTAACCTAGTTCCAAATGTTGATGTTGTAAAAAGACGAGACAAACAAAAGGGGGAAAAAAACAGGTTGTGCAACCAGCTCCACAAAACATCAGGAGTTAAAAGAATTATTGCAGAATAGTGAGAAAATATTACTCAAAACGTTACTAAAAACATCGTGGAAAGCATACTCAGAATGATTAAAGCTGTAATTTTGGCAAGAGTAGGTCACACTTGTTTTTAAGTTTTTCATTTGTAACTTTATTTCTTTTAAAAAAGTTTAAAAAAATCGTCTTCTCTGTATTGCCGATCTTATAGTTAGGCCGTGAACGTTGGTTTAAAAAATCATCAAAAATTGCTAGAATTAATTTACACGATTATAAGTATACAGACTACGTTAGAGAATGAAATTCCATAAAATTAACTGTAATTGGCCTTATAACGTAAATTTCCTAAAGTACCCGTTTTTTGCAAAAGAGTTTATATACCACGAGGTGTTGTTTATTTTCTCTAGTATTTTCTGAATTTGGGGTTTTTAATTAAGTTACTTAATTTAAATGCGATCATCGTTTTACTTAACTGACAGGAGCTCTAAACTACTTTCCGTTACTGTACCTAGCATGAATAGAATATAAATGATTTCATCGGCTTATTTGTATTAAATAAACATTATTCAAACCTCAATTTATAAACCAAATTGAAATTCTACGAAAGTAAATTACTGAATGTAATTGTTGTTACACAGAGATCTATTTTATTGAGTCTTGATAAATGTTAAATTTACAACATTATATATTCTACGTAAAGCAAAGGTCTTATATTTTGAATACGTATGTCTCAAAGAAAACGTACACACGTCTTTTTCTTTAACTGTCAGGATAAATATAGCACAAAAAAATATATAACAAATTTTATTCAAAAGGAACATCGGTAGTTACTCGCTGTATAGCGATGCTAATGTCTCGGAGTATCTGTAAGGAAAGTACCCCACCGAGGCGAGGTACAAAGCTTCTTTCTCGAGTTGGTCTCGCTCTCTGGCAAAGGGTCGAGAAAAGGAAAGCGACCTATACACCCGTTCAATATTAAATTGGAAAAATATAAAAACGTTCTCGATTCTGTTGACGGCACAGCCCCCCCCCCCCAGCTTCAGTCTGAACATAAAACTGTATAAGTATTGTGTTTGTTTACATAAATTCTATGTAAACAAATAGTAACCGGATAGTAGCGTTTAAGTTTTCAACAAATTATGTACTTGTACTTCATAAAACGAGGGAAGACGCATTCATGGATTAGCTAATCTCCCTCAGATTAGCTAATCCATGAATGCGTATCATAAATCTATCAGATGTAGTCCAAATATAAAAGATGATTTAGTGTTATAATAATTACTATTGATAAATATTTTCAATTTCAGGACGTGGAAAGCAGAAGAAATTATTGGAGAGACTTTTACCAATGATGGCAATGCCGTTTATAATACAATCCATGGTCGTGCCAATTTTCCTCGGAATGATTAAGTTTATGCTATTTAAGTCTCTAATAATCGGTAAACTAGCTTTAGTATTGATTATAATTAATGCGTTTAGAAACAGTAATAGTGTGAAGGGACGTGACGCAGACTTAGCAGCGATAAATTACGGATTCAGTGGTCATGAAAACGAATATGAAGGTGCTTATATTAATGTCAACAGAGACAGTTTAGGTTAGAAAGTGTATTTTCAATTTAACATTAGTTTGTTGCTATAAGACTAATGCCAGTCGACACATTTCGAAAATGCTACGTAGCTTTTTCTATAGAAAAAATGACAGCCAATTACTTGCTTTAGAAAAATCTAAGCCTCGCAGCATTTACGAATTATAATTGGATTATTGAATCTTTGTCAGTTCATACATCTTCACTCACGCTCCAATATGTACTAAGATTTTTAATTGTTGTATTTAAGTTATAGATCTTGCAATAAATGTAAATATTAGAAGCACATTAGACCCAAACTTAAAAGAATAAGAGTAAGAGTCTAATATAGGTCTACCACGATCTGATGGCAAAAAGGGAAAAAAGAAATTGACGCTAGCAATACTGGGGAAATTGGAGAAAAACGTTTTGATACTTATTTTTCCTTATAGCGGCTGACTGTGTGTGATACATGCAAATATAAAATTTTATCCAATGATCAAGGATCCAATCCAATCAAATTTCAAAAATCCAATTTTTGAAAATTTTACTGTGGCGAATGATGATGTGGGGTTTGAAATTTAGATGAAAACTCCAATTACTCTGTTCATGAGTTTATTAATTAATTAATTTATTTATTTATTTTCTCCACATCACTATCTTTACAGGATAACCTAATACAATAGTGTGGTCCTTAAATCTAACATATCATAATAGAAATAAATTAAATCACTCCCTGTTACATTTTGTATATAATGATAAAGAAATGCTTAAAATTGGTGAAATAATAATTACTTAGACTAAAGGAATGAACGTAAATATTTTTAAAATATTACATAAGTCTTGAATTTTAATGTTACAATAAAATTGTATTTTGTTTTGAACAATGTAAATATTAATTATAACATAACGTGCGATTTTTGTGAACTCACTCAGGGAACATGTAAAAAGATCTGTGCCGTCCGCTACTTCATTGAGTATGATTGAACTTGAAAATGTTTCCAAATACTTCATCCATAAAAAAGTCTTCATATGAAGAGGAAGATGCAGTATTTAATATAAACCTATCCTCCTGCATCTCAATTAACTGATCTTGTTCTATGAACTGATTTTCAATTTTTATTACATGTTCACAAGATTTTCGCCATTCATCGATCCCTACTTGAGAGTAAGCTTCTTAAATCTCTTCTCTGTTAAAAATTGTATATCACTTGCAGGTCTATTGACGTTTTTACCCGCAAGTTTTGTTTCATTATTCCCCAGATTAATTCTATGGGGTTTAACGTATAATGATATGGCGGGAGCCTCAAGACTTCGTGGCCGTGTTGATTTAAAATCTCATCTATCTGATATTTAGGGTTTTTTTTCCATTCTAAACAATCCAAGTTTTTTTTTTTAGAAACCCCTGAAATAAACCAAAGTTTATATAAGTATATAAGTACATAATAATATAATACACACGAAAATCGAATAAACCAAAATATCAAGACGTGTCATTCCTACTAACCAGTCAACACTTGCACATGGCTCAATATCGATGATTGTGTATGTTCTGCACCTTGTTGATCAAGTATTCTTTGATAAACATTGAAAACAATATTTCTTGCTTGCGATCGAAGAGGTTTCTTTGACATTTTCACCACTTTTTAAAGGAAATTTGAAGCCAAACCAAAAACAATTCCTCGAAATTTCAGATGACAGATGAATTTTTTTTTGTTGCCACATGAAAATCGCAAATTTTTAAAAAAATTTTTGCTATCAGATTCTGGTAGACCTATAGTATCACTAATGAGTTACATCGTCCATTGTACTACAGAGTAGATAGGAAGAACTACATTATCCCATCGGATATTTCTATTTATTTTAGGGAAAAAAAAGAAAGTCTCAACAATTTTAAATTGTTAAAAACACTAAAGTTTGTATCGGACATGGAACTGACATTTCTTCATTTTTCGCAAATCATTGTTTTTTATTGTCACTGCATAAACTAAGAGTTGGTTTATGAAGTCGGAGAAAAGCTACTTTTAATGTTACATTTAAGTTATAATTAATCTTCGTAATTTATCTTTAGTATTGTAAATTCAGTAATTTACTTCCAGCTGCTGAAAATTATGTAAAATCATCATTCATTAATAATATCTAAAAAATAAAACAAAAGAAACATGAGGTCATGAAATTCCTTTTTACAATCCAATTTGGATTTGTCAGTCTGATGACTTCAACATATTCCCTCTACTCGCAATAGGGCGTACATACCTTAGAGTTTTGGTGAATATATTTATATATTTATTAAATGTCTAATTCATTCAGTTCCCTAAAATTAAACAAATATCCTGTATAATAGCAGTATCACATAACGCAATGCATATAATATAACGTGAATGTGTTGAAACTGTACCAACAGAAACATGGCGTTCATACTTAATTTTAATTTCGAGTAACAGTAAGAACACGTTACGCGTACCTCATAAGAGGTATATAAAACATGTGCAGAATTCCTAAAAGCTTAAAAAATATTTAACATTATGACTTTAATAATCTGTTAATAAATGTTGTTTGTGTTAGTGTGTGAGTGTGAGACTAAACTATCCACTTTTAGTCTATTCTTTATGATCTTAATTTATCTAAGTAATAAGCTTATACCTACGTCAATTGTGCGTTCTTTTACCAAAAAATAATTAAAATATAAAAGTTTCCTTTTTTCTTCCTCACCTACACCTACGCCTTATCTGAAGTTATAAAAAATGTGTAATACCAATTCATTTATTTAATAACACACAAATATAAAGTATTTACAATTCTGAATATAGTAATAATAACAATACATAAAAAGAAAACTACAATGAATTAAAAAAGTTCCTGTGGCAGTGTAACTTTTATGCTGGCATCATTCACGCACTGTATTGCGATACTCATTCGTTGAGCGAGAAGAGCTGGTGCCCTGGGGGTCTCCGGCATTATCAACCAGGCGCCAACTTAAATATTATTTAATTTTAATACAGGCGCCATACTTATACTTCACTATACACTACAGGCGAGTTGGAACTATAAGGTTTAGGATAAGAAGAAAAGTATAATTTAAGTACATTAATACTATAATAGATATTAGTATGAATGGAATATGCAACATTTCTGAATAACTCGATACCTGAACATTATAAAATGAATAACGACAAGTTTTCAGACTTATCTCATTGATGAACAAAATATTTAATACCAATTGCATATAAGGGTTACCTTTTGTTGAAGTTCGACCTGGATCTTAAAAAACCATAACCGAATAGGGTTATCTTCGATCAAATATAGACAAGATTACAACTGATATTTTTATCTCAAACGAAAACATTTATACTGACTACAATATTATATTGATATCTATTTTTGCGATCAGGTTTGAAGTTCTACGGTTGTTATACCTGTTTTAGAAAATTCAACAATATTCTAATCGGAGAAACATTCTAAGGTTGTGAAGGTGGTGATTATGTAAGTATAAACGTTTAGTCGTCACTTCGTCTACAACTTCAAAACAACCACGACGGTTAGGTACGTTTACGCAGTTCGCAATTGAAATTTATCGTTGTGTCGAAATATAACATCGATCGATTTCTATTCATGGCTCAATGCATTTGTCAATAGAGTTAATTTTTCGTGAAGTGTTTGTGAACATTACAAAATAGGGTAAGTACTTTCGGTGTATTAAGACCCTAAATGCGAAAGTGGTACTTTACCCATAGCATAAACGTTCAATATAAATAAATATATTTACTTACAAAGTTTAAACTGCAATTTATTATCTCTTTCCAGTAGCCCTTAAGTAAAATCTAACTAATTAGGTACATTGAAATAATCTTAACGCTTATTGTAGTGTCATGATATACGGATCGTTGGTACATAACACGGATGGATGGTAATAAACAAAACTGCATAAATTATACTTATTAAGACTGTTCTGAAGTTAAACTCTTTTTTATATTTCGTCTGTTGCTTCATGGTTATAAAAAGTAATGCTTGATCAAAGTTTAACGCGTTCAAAGCTAAACTAAATATATACCGAAATATTACTTAAACTACAATAATGAAATCATAATACTAAAAATACAACTTTTAACAAATAATGAAGTTTACCTTATTTAAGAATAAATATCTAGAAGTAGTTTGTTATTTTCCTTAAAGGCACAATTTTTTATTTATTATTGCAATAAATTTAGCTTGTTTTGTTTTTGTGAAAATTTCCCCAAATTAAAATAAAAAATAATATTCTAGTCGTTGGACACTAGTAGAATGTGGCTCCATAAAAGTCTGATTCGATAATAATAGGAATGAGACCAAAAGTACTATCGCCAACTCATTAGAAGATCATTTGCTCGACACCTAGCTTTCATTAGTACAAGATTTTCTCATAGGCACCCGTACTATCGACTGGAAATTTAAAATGATGTCACTTTACGATCGGAGATCGCCGGTAGAAGAATAGTAACCTCTTATAGAATATTAACATTGTCGTCCCTTTATTCATTCCCTGGGTTTAAAATCAGCAGATTTTTCCAAATTCCGTCTGAAAAAACCAACCAACTCCTAGTTCAAACACCTCTCATTCGAATTCTTCGCGAATATAACAGAATGAACACTACTTATCCAGAGCTTGACATAGTCGGTAGTGGGCTGATCAATTAAAAAAACCAAATCCGCTGTTTTTTTAATTTTTATAGAAATTATTTTTTTAATTTTTTGTAACATTTACCACAACTGTCATATCTCTTATTTTAGATAGCTTTTAACATATATACTATAGATATATCATTATATATGATGTGTTGAACTTTAATAAATAAATATATGGAAGCCAAATAAGAATGCAAAAACAACTCGGCTTATATTCGTAAAAGACATTTCAGATATATTTGAGATACGTTAAGAAGCTGAAACCAATTAAACTACGGTAAAATACGGTATTATTAATTTTAAAGAGATTGAGAGAATTCGTGTAATTTTAATTACATACATCGGCATCGAATGGACTGAATGCTGGCTGCTAGTTACAAAGTTACCATGCTAAAACCAGCTTCACAGCAAGCCAGGACTTGCCAGTTCTCGACGATTGAGAACTGGGTACTAACAATAAATGTAAATTAAAAAACATTTAAAGTGTGACGTTCATTTTACCTACATGAATAAATAATACATATTTGAATTATAATTTCATTTTTAATAATTTTTTCTTTAGTTTGCAATTACCACTGGTACGATACCTTGGTAGCACTGAAAATGTTTAGAAAATGAAAAACGGCCTAATGTAGAAAGTTGCCAATACTTTTATTATTTTTCGAAGTAATCTCCGTTCCTCTCTATACATCGCCGCATTCGATGAAACCATTGAGAAAAACAGTGGGTCCATTATTCCTCAAGGGTTTCTTCTATGGCATTTTCGGACGCTTTCACCGCATCTTCAGGGCTCGTAAAGCGAATTTTATCTTTAGTTCTTGGGAATAATGAAAGTCGCAGGGCGCCAGGCCAGGACTGTATGGCGGATGACTCTTATCTCGACACCTGCCATAGTCAAATATTCAACAGTCCGTTTTGCGGAGTGCGCTGAAGCATTGTCGTGGTGAAGGAGGATCCTGCTTCGAGGGCGCTGCTGTCGATTTTTTTCCAGGACAACAGACAAACAGCGATTGATATACCAGTCTGCAGTAACTGTCCTTCTATCTTCTAGGACAACTGGCACAAAATAACCTTTCCGACGAAAGAATAAGGCATTAGGCAATCATCTTTTTTCCTTGACTTCTTCCTTCCTTTACCTTAGTGGGCCGATCCTCCAAAGAAAATACCCACTGAGCTGGTTGTCTTTTAGTTTCGAGTTCGTAGCAATATATCCAGCTTTCATCGCCTGTGACGATGTCAAATACAGCATTTGAGTCACCGCCGTTGAACTTATCTAACATTTGGCGACACAAGTCCATGCGAAGGTGTTTCTGGTCTTCGTTTAAAGTATGGGGAAACCATCTAATACAAAGCTTCCTGACGCCTAAATGTTCGTGTAATATTTTTTGAACTTGACTTATACCAATGCCTAAGCTTGCCCGTATCTGCTGATAGGTCACTTTCTTATCTTCCTCCCTCATGCGTCGCACAGCACTGATGTTATCTTCAATAGTCGCTGTTAAAGGACGTCCCTCACGCGGATCATCATTGAGATTGCTACGTCCACGCTTAAATTCGTTAAACCAATTATTGTAAATAGTGGCACGAGATGGGGCTTCATTAAGAAATGCTAATCGCAGCCTATCATAGCTTTGTTGTTGAGTAAGCCCGCAACGAAAGTCATAATAAATCATTGACCGAAAATTTTCTCGCGTTAGGTTAATTTTCAAATTCACAAAAACAAATGACAAATGAATGCAATATAGTATATTATACTACATTAGGTTACCAAAGAGTTCATTAGCAATGTTTCTAACTGGCCCTAAAGTTCTAAACATTTTCAGTGTTACCCACGTATAAACATCGTTGAAAACTGAAAAATCGTAGACACCAAATTAAAATAGTAAAAAATGTACCTGCTATATTTAGATTATGATACAAGTTTAGTGGCAAAAATACAATACATGTCATACAGAACAGACGACATTTAGGACATTTAGAATAGATTAGAATCGAAAAAACCTTTATTACTGATAATTCTAACAAGTAATTTTTAACATACTTCGACATTGAATATTTTCTTTCAGGTGAAGCCCGATATTATGATGTCTTGGGTCTGTCCACATAAAGTTTTCGTGCTGTTGAGTTTACTATCATTCTCATTATTTGTATCCACGATAGCATTGTCAGTCAAAAGCACAACATGTAGGGTAGAAGGAAATATTTTAAGTACTGACATATCAAAAAAAACGAAGACAAAAGAAGATCATGTAAGTATCTATAGTTAAATAGGTGAACGTAATTTTAAAAAGCATTGTGGAGTAAAATTACTTGTAAATATTAAAAATAATCACTAAATTATCAAAAAATCCATACTTAAAAATATGTATTTTTATGTACATAAATCGGTCAGGATCAGTGGAATTGACCAGGACGTTGCATGCTTGTAAACGAATAGGTACGTGGGTAACACTGAAAATGTTTAGAATTGGCCAGTTAGAAGCATTGCTTATGAAACCTTTTTTTAATTTCAATTTCAGAACTCTTTGGTAACCTAATGTTGAATTGGCGGCAAATCTAAAACTCTTGTTACACGTGAAAATGAACCTAACGCGAGAAAATTTTCGGTCAATGATTTATTATGACTTTCGTTGCGGGTTTACTCAACAACAAAGCTATGATAGGCTGCGAGTAGCATTTCTTAATGAAGCCCCATCTCGTGGCACTATTTACAATTGGTTTAATGAGTTTAAGCGTGGACGTAGCAATCTCAATGATGATCCGCGTAAGGGACGTCCTTTAACAGCGACTACTGAAGATAACATCAGTGCTGTGCGACGCATGATAGATGAAGATAAGAGAGTGACCTATCAGCAGATACGGGCAAGCCTAGGCATTGGTATAAAAGCAAGCAGGCAAGGCAAGTTCAAAAAAATATTACAAGAACTTTTAGGCGTCAGGAAGCTTTGTACCAGATGAATTCCCCATACTATAACCGACGACCAGAAACACCTTCGCATGGACTGGTGTCGCCAAATGTTAGATGAGTTCAACGGCGGTGATTCAAATGCTGTATTTGACATCGTCACAGGTGATGAAAGCTGGATATATTGCTACGAACCCAAAACTAAAGATAAAATTCGAGGTATGTATTTGCTTTACGAGTCCCGAAGATGCGGTGAAAGCGTACTAAAATGCCATAGAAGAGAACCCCTAAGGAAGAATGGGCCCACTGCTTTCCGAGTGGTTCTATCGAATGCGACGGTGTGTAGAGAGGAACGGAGATTACTTCGAAAAACAATAAAAGTATTGGCAACTTTCTACATTAAGCCGTTCTACATTTTCTAAACATTTTCAGTGTGTCCTAGGTAAATACGCCTGTCTAATTCTGTTTTGGGATTTGTTACAGATTATTTTTTAACAAAATATACAGTATATACAGTGAAATTTACCCACAAAAACTTAACGTTTGTTTACGTATGTATTTACAATTAGTATGTTACATCCGATATAAATCTATGGTTACATCATAGGAACGGACGCCATCTTGCATACATTTTTAAAGACAGTTTTTTAGTAGACGTAATCTAAAAAAATCGTTTTCTTTTAATCCTGTCAAATTACCAATTGGTCTTTGATATGTTTATAAAAAAACTAGCTGATCCGGCAAACGTCATTTTGCCATGTATTTCATTTATAATTAAAAATAGGGGTTGATCGTAGAGGGGTGAAAATTAGGGGTTGTATGTATTTTTTAATGCTGTATCATAAAAAAATAAAAAATAAGTAATTTATCTAAAAGTTAAAAAATAATAATTTAGGGGTGGACTACCCTTAACATTTAGGGGGATGAAAAATAAATGTTGTCCGATTCTCAGACATACCCAATATGCACACAAAATTTCATGAGAATCGGTCAAGCCGTTTCGGAGGAGTATGGCAACGAAAACTGTGACACGAGAATTTTGTATATTAGATTGTCTTGACATACGAATCTGAATCTGACTTGATTCACGAAATCTGAATCAGTCTAAATACACGGTTTTTATTGCTTACTCGTCTCTGTCTATCGAACTGAATTTATGTGATGAAAAGAAAACAGTGATTGCGTGATTTGGATTTCACGAATAAAGGGGTAAATCTTAACCAAACGGGGTGCGTTTTAATTTTTATACTATAATATAAATACGCGTTTACGTTACAGGTTATAAACTACCGACTTTCAAGAGATGTGAGGCCGTTAAATTACACTCTAATGTTATGGCCTGACTTAGAAAGAAAGAGTTTTAAAGGGCATGTAACAATAAGAATCCGCGTCTTACGACCAACAACCAATATTGAGGTTCATGTTAAAAATCTATCGATCAACTATGTTGATTTCAACGACGATGCAAACAGATGTGTGCAAATAAATACAACAAATATAATACCAAAAAGAGAGGTTTATGAGGTGCAGTTTGGACATAACGAAATCACTGAAGGGGTGTACAAATTAACTTTAAATTTTACTGGGAAACTTGACACAGGAATTGTCGGCTTTTATCAAAGTAAACTGCGAGGTGGCGTGTAAGTTGGTGTTATTTCATATTAAGTAGTTTTAAATTGGCTTAAAGGTCTCGTTACCAGCCTTGCTATTCTGGAACTCACTTTTCGAACTCACACAGCGGTTTTCGCAGCGGCGGTCGCGCTCAAATCAGTCGTGAAGCAGTCATTTTACGATCTGGCATTCTGATAAGGCTTGTAGTTTATTGTTTTACTTATAACTTTTTGAATTTTGGATTTATGATAAAAAGTTACATGGACATAATTGTAGGCACAGCGATTTTCTACAAAATGTGTTTTTTAACAAATTTTATGTACGATGGATAGTTTAGGAGATATAGCCAAAAATGTGGTTTTTGCACCCTTTTTTCCAAGATGGCGGCCGGGGGACAAGCACGCCAACCCCTCAAACTTGAGGTTAACCTTGTATTGACCCCCCCCTACTTGTCCCATAAATAAAATTGCGTCCTTTAACAAATGTTCAGTTTGGCCCTCAAATTGTAATATTTCAATGGACTAGTTTTACTTTAAATAAAACGTGAGTTTCCTTTTGTGACGTTTCAGATTTCAAACAGATAAATTTGACATTCAGAATAGAACAAAATACCCTTAGTATAGGTCTGTTAATTAAAGCTGGCGGCTTCAACACATTTACACTTTGTGCTTGTGTAGTCTGTGAATAAGCGCGAAACGTACGTCACACTGAATATGCATCATGAAATGACTGTCCGTCTCTCGCGCTCGGGTTAGCTTATGAGTATAAAAGAGACAGTTATTGTTTTGCTTTTGCTACTGTTTATAAATACATGTTGATCTTTTCTCTCATTATTATTCTATCTGTGAGTGTTTACTTATTTGGTTGGAGGTTAGAATACTTAGAAAAAAATGTCTTATGAAATAATTGGTTCCGGCAAAACAACAGGACAACCTCGTGAAATAGTGTACACTGTACAGTGTTTTTAATTATTTTAAGCATCTTAATAAAAACAATTTAATGAAAGAATTGTACGATTTGACATAAGATGCGACTTGTGTTTCTAAGAGGATTATTGAAAGAATTGTTAGTGAAAAAATATTGGGAGGCTCGAAATGTTCGACCAAAGAAGAGGTGAGAGCCGTAGTAAACGACTCTATTGACAACCGTTTTGAGGGAATAAACAAGTTGCAGTTCAATTTGAAGGAAGTGTGTTGAGCTAGATGGAGCTTATGTCGATAAATGAAAAATCATGTCATCAAATATGTCATATATTTTTAATATACTGTATAGTGAAATTGCATTAGTGTGAGTATTGTGAACGCGCCATCTTTCGATAACCGACCTATATCCCAAACTAAATACTATAAAATAGACTAAATCGTAGACCTGGTAGGTACTAAATTTCGCAAAGGCATGTTAAATGATTACATTCTATTACTGATAACATAGGTTGCGCATATTTGTTGTTGCATAATATACGAGCAATATTATTATAATAAATGATCTATTTTCTATAATTCTGTAGTATGTCTCTCATAAGAACCTACATAGGACGCTATATTACATAAAATTAAAATATTATATTCTTATTTGCTCCCATGTTTAGTTTAGATTGTGGTTTAGTAGCAGATTTTAATACAAATCTATTTATTAATGGTTTAATCCTCAGAAAGGTGTATTTGTTTTATGTGCGCTTTTTATAAACTGTTTAGTGTATATTAACTAACACGGAGCATAAATAATTTGTTTTCCTTTATAATCGCTTGATAATAAAATATCAAATATAAATACGTTTTAAAATTCGTATAAGTAACACATTATCATCGAATAACTACATAGAAATAAAACTAAAGGACTAGGTATTTGTAGATATTTGTCATTATAGTCAGACTTATGCTTTTAAAAGAAATTAAATTGTTTTTTCTATTACTGTACGCAGTTTGATCATTTAATAAACTATACGGTAGTGTTGGTACTTGGTTGGCTAGTCGGTGGCATAAACATGCTAATAGCCACAGGGCACAGACTTGCTTTGATGGTTGACAGTTCACTTACAGTAATGACACCTTTCATATGAGATTTCTCATTTCAGATTGGTATTCATAAAACTTCGAAAATCCGGGAAAGTTTTGATAATGTTTATATTTATAATTTACTATTATAGATAAGAAGAAATAAAAAAAGAGTTGAATAAACTAACTTTGCCGCTAAATATTGTTAACGCTGTGTAACTACTAGGTTTGACTCTATGTTGAAAAAAACTTTTGTTTTTGCCTTTAAGAAAATATACCGACAGAATATTAGTTGTAAACAAGGTTTTCTATATAGCCGGTCAATCAGTAGTAGTTTTTGCGAAAAAATAATGGAAACATCCAAGATAAAGTTATCTGAAAGATTGTCCCCTTTAATCCACCCTGTGAATTACAAGTTAAAATTAAATCCTGATCTTGAGTCAGGGAAATTTCTAGGAGAAGTGAGCATTAATGTTATTGTCGATGGTGAACGAGATAATTTTTCTTTGCATACAAAATTCTTACATATCAAAGATGTGAAAGTGACTAGTGGCCACAATGAAATAACAGTACAGAAATATTTTGAGATTAAATCATTAGAACAATTATATATTCAATTTGATAAGAATATTCATGTTGGAAGTTATGATATAAACATTGAATTTAGTGGAGATTTGACTAGGAACATTGTAGGTTTCTATCTCTCTAGGCTTAAAGCAGGAGGGTAAATATCAGTTTTAGTAAATAAGACCCTTGAACTTCTGTAATTGTAAAATGTCAGGGGTATAGGAATGTCTCTGCTAGTTCACCATAACTTATTTCTGAAGAAGTTTAATTGATATATATTTAGCAATTATAATTGATATTTGCTTTTCTTAAGAATTTCAGACATTTATAATTAATGAAAAGAAAACCATATGTATGAAAACATATGTAACCAACAAGTAGATAGAGGTAGTAGAACTTCTTTGTTTCAGTTCTATGGTGGCAAGTAAATTTCAGCCGACATATGCTCGCCAGGCATTCCCATGTTTTGATGAACCTGATTTTAAAGCAACATATGACATAACCTTAGTCAAGCCTATTGATTATGTTGCACTCTCAAATATGAATGTAAGATTATTTTTATAAGTTAAACTAATAAAATTACTATGGTTTGCAATATTTATACAAACCAGAGGTTATGATTCCAATCTGATTATTTAAAACTCCAGTATATTTGAAGGCCTATTGCCTATTAGGCAGTTAATGCAAGAAAATATATAATCATTTGAAAAAGGGTTATCCTTATTTCTATTACATTTTTTTATTTCTTACAGAAACTAAAACAACTTTTTACTTTACAATTATAAATGTTCAAAAATAGGCAATATAGAATAAGTTTAATAAATGTAACTTGCATACTTGTTTAAAGATATATTAATCATATTTTTTACCTCTTCATTCAAAAAATTAAGACTGGTAATCTAATTTTGCTTATAGGAAATATCAAAAACTGTGGATAAATCTACAAAAACAGAAACAGTAACTTTTGCTACAAGTGTTCCTATGTCCACATATCTAGCCTGTTTTGTTGTATGCAACTTTGATTACAAAGAAACACTCATAAATGCAAGTGGTATTGGTAAAGACTTCACTTTACGATCATTTGCCCAGAAGCAACAAACACATAAAATTGATTTTGCTCAAGATATTGGAAAACGAGCAACTGAATTCTATATTAAGTATTATGAGGTGCCATACCCTCTTCCAAAACTTGGTATGTAACATTTAATACTATATTTTATTTGAGAATCTGTCACAGGTATCCAATTTGGTTTTCAAAATGGCTTGGATTTTTTTTACACAAGTCTTCAAAAACTTCACAAAAATAAAAAAAAATAACTTTTTCAGATATGATCGCGATTCCAGATTATGTATCAGGTGCTACTGAACACTGGGGTTTGATTACATATAGGGAAACATCCTTTCTGGTCAATGAGGCCACAACATCATCGCAGAATAAAATCAGTGTGGCCAATACAATTGCACATGAGTTGGCACACATGTGGTTTGGTAATTTAGGTAAAGTGAAAATATTGGTATTAACAGTTACAGTAGTAAATTTTTGTTTTCGCTTACGCAATATAATATATAGTAAGTCTGGGATTTTGAGTAATTCATACAAAACTTCATTTTATAATTCCATATACCATTTAAATACCTTTTCCTTTAATATTAACTGACTGATTAAATTACCAAATAGACAAGATAGCTCAAAAATCTGTTAAAGAATCTTAATTCCAACATAAATACTTATACTGTTGACTATAATGTTCATATGTTAATCTGAAAAAACTTTCAAATTTGACCAATTAGTTTATAATTGGTTACATTTAAGTGCTGATTTATGTTGCATTTGTATTAAGTAATATTTTGGACTACTATTGCAATTGCATAAAGTAAATACACAAAAAGATCATATGTCGAATTGATAAGCTCCTTATTCGTTTTTTTTTTAAATCGATTAAAAATAGCCTAAACTCTTTAGCGTAATAACGTAATAGCTTTGAGGATCTCTATTACAGAAATGCTATTAAATCTAATTTTTTCTCATTTCAGTGACAATGAAGTGGTGGGATGAAGTTTGGCTCAACGAAGGTTTTGCGTCGTATATGCAAGTGAAATCATTGAATGCTATTGAACCTTCCTGGACTATGGTAATTTTAATTATCTAACTAATGGTTATGACCGTCTTCATGATTGTTATTTTATTATCCATAACACTAATATGAATGATTTATAAAATAAAGCGATTTCGGTTTTCACGTAATTCCAAGTTAAGATCGTCAGTGACGTCATTAGGGTTCTATGTTAGAGAGTAGCAATAGCTTTGAGGTCGCTCTTGGAGTCGGTAGACTTAGAGATTATAATTGTCTCGGTTGCGTAAGCACTAATCTCCTTGAATATATGAAAAATGAAACAATTAACAAGAAATTAACCCAGTAATATGTCTGCGAATGACTCCATTTATGATAATAGTACCTACTACTTAAACGTAGTTCTATATATGTTTTCTTTATACGATAATTTCAGCCATGTTAAGCTTTAGAAAGAACTAGATTATCAACTATCATTGAATATGTTGCGAGAGTAACTGTCTAAGTCAAAAACGTATTAGATTTGATATACGGGAGTTATACTTAGCGCAATCTCGACACTGAATTTTTTACCCTGCCTAAAGTAAAACAATTTAGTAAAATTATTTTAATTTTTATAAATAAGAGAGCTTGTTTTGTTTTAGCTGGACCAATTCCTAACGAAAACTCTGCATTCAGTTTTAGTGACTGATGCGAAGTTGTCAAGTCACCCTATAGTTCAAACAGTGGAGACACCAGATCAAATCACCGCCATCTTTGATTCTATATCGTACAATAAGGTAATTTTTATTTTTTTTAAATTTATAATTCAGGGTCGTATTTTATAACGTTAATAAAGATCTGTCAAATCAATTCTATAATTTGACAGAACAGAGTCAGTTTAGAATATCGTGCGTATGTAGTTCGACCAGAGTCGTAGTAGCTTTAAAAAAATACTCTTCTAATTCAAAACCTTGCTAGATTTAGGCAGTTAAATAACATATGGCAAAGTCTAAAAGACTCTCTCTGTAAAATAAAATTGTAAAAGTATGTTTAAAATGTTTCCACATGTTATAGTATTTCACATCATTGGTAAACATTTGATTCTCAAATTTTTGCAATTTACTAATAAAACAATAAAATAAAAAGATTTTGTCTAGTTTGTTCTTTTTTAAGTAAATTAAATAATATTGTAGGGTGCATCAATTTTAAGAATGTTAGAGGGCTTTATCGGCGAGGAAAACTTTCGCAGAGGAGTTTCAGATTATTTAAAGAAGTACAAATATGGCAACACCGTCACTCAAGAGTTACTATCTTCACTGGAGCCATACTTTAAAACTCTTTATCCACATCTTAGCCTCAAGTAAGTGTTAGATAAATTGTGTTTGATAATGTCATTTAAATGAAACATTATTTGAAGTTGCTCGTTAGAATTATTAAGCATGGTCCGAGGTAAGATCGAAATTGCTATGAATAAGTCCGATAATTCTGCGATTCCGTTGAGGTCAATAAATAAATTTCGTCAATCGATTGATTAAATAAAATATGATTCAATTCAATAATATTTTACAATAGGTTTTTTCTTTTTCTTCTCTGAGCTTTGGTTATGATGCGATAATTATCTGTTTCGATTATTTCTTTCTTCGGATAATTGTATAAATGACTCCAGCGAAGTAATATACACTAGACCACAGACGCATTGTTGCGTCATTCCTTATGGCTGCCCAATATTCTTACACCATTTGAAATTTTTATATTCTATATTGTATTTCCATTTTTGTAAACGTATAAAGGGGCTGTCTTTGGAAATCACTGGGTTTAATTATATTTAAAACTAATCTATGATATTGTTGATTTTATTATCAATAGCCATATTCTTAATTAATTAATAATTCAGATACATAATGGACACGTGGACGAGACAAATGGGATATCCCCTTATAACAGTGAGGCCTGGAGCTAACAATATTTATATATTGACACAATCAAGGTTTCTCTTAGACCCGGCTGCGACTTATGATGATGACTCGGAATTTCAGTAAGTATACAGTATAGATAATTTAGTTTTTTCAAGGTGCCTGGTAAATCTTCACGTTAAACTTACCAAGAAGTTGTCAAATCCATGATTAAGTGTAAATTGCGGTGCTAAGAATGATTACTATTTGAAATTGAAATTAATATATCACATAACATACACAACTGCATGTTAAATTGGCAATGACAACAATTTTGAGTTTCTGAAACTTCACTCTTTTATAGTTGCGATTAAAAACCATCTAATTTTTTTTAAAGGATTTGTGGGGGGATTTAAGGGGTGAGAATGCACAACGACAGACGTAATAAGAAACGATTTGTGAATGATTTAACAAACGAATCGTGTCATGTCGCGTGTCATCGCGTCTCGGACTAGAGATGCTGTTGACCAATCACAATAGAACGCACCGTCGTTTGGATGTTCAATTTTTTACATCAACATTCTCTACTCCCAACAACTCGAACTGATTTACATGTAACTGATATTGAACAGAAAAATTACACTTTTTCCAGAATTGTATTCATTTGATTTCCAGTATCGCAGTTATAATATCTACAATTATACCATACATAAAATCCCAAAGGAATATACATTTAAACACAAACATAAAACACTTATTATAAAAATTAAACTCTTTTTTTCCTATAACGTATGTCTAAATTATAAGTTGCATTATTTATCATAAATGACAGTTATCAAGTTTTTTCTATGTTCTTCAGTTATCGTTGGTATGTACCTATAACGTATTCAACGAGTACAGAGAAGCGTGACGATATACTATGGTTTGCTGATACGTCGGATAGCGGTAAGAATTACTATAATATAGCGATTTATATAATCAATCAGTGTGTGGAGGAAGGATGATGTTCTCTTCCTCCGACTTCTCGATCCTCGACCAGTCTAACCACTGACTGGCCCGACGGCCCCAGTAGTCCCTAAGTGGCCCCTAAGATCGAAAAGTTATATATTATAGCGTTCGGTAAAACTCCGTTGGCGCGTTTCAGAGTTTGACGTCATGGAGGTGATTGTAGCCGTAGAATGTAGGTGTCGCTACAGACTACTATAGAGTACAGAACTGTACTTAATAAACTATTTCATAATACGGTTATAGGTCTAATCATTTTTAAATATCAAAAGGACTACCTTTAACTACTAAGCTAAAATGCTAATTTACAAATTCTCCATACATAAGTACTACAAAATTACAGTTTTTATACAATTGAAATTTAGCGCGTAAACTATATTTTAATATATGAATAAGAATTTAACGTAATGCATATATAATTTCAGTGGAAATATCTCTCAGCGACGATGAAAAATTGTTAAAAATAAATAACAATCAAGTGGGCTATTACAGAGTTAACTATCCGTTGGATATGTGGAGTCAGATTATCGAGCAACTTAAAGTTAAATCTAATATGGTAAGATGCTTTAGTAACCAATAGCCGTCGCCTTCGTTAATTATATATTATATATTATGCGTGTAAGATATGTTTCCCGGGGAAATAATATTTATTTTAGCTTAGTAGTCGCAGAAGTCAAAAGCATCTCTACATGAACATCGACACAATTAAACATAATGTGTCAATGTTTTTATCTTTAGTTTAACATTTTCACGCCCTGTGTCCTATGTTTTGAATTTGTTTCTGGTGTGAGTTAATGGGTATATTATATTTCTATTTGTCTTTTTTAACAAAATGAATAGCGCTTACATCTGCGTAAAATCAGAAAAATCAATAATCTAGTAGCGCTGCAACCCCATATGGGCCTTGGCCAGTGATTGCATCCGTTTCTTAGATAATTTTTATTTCATAGACAAATAGATGATCAGCCTTCTGTCTGACACATGTCGTTGATTTTTGTATTCGAAATATATCAATTTTCTGACGGTGTTCACCTTCACCTTACGAGCTCGTGTTAGATAGAAAGTCCATTGGTGCATGGCCGGGGATCGAACCTACGACCTCAGGGATGAGAGTAGCACGCTAAACGAAGCCACTAAACATTAGATAACTTTAGTATTTAAGATTTTTTTTCATTTCAATTGGATTTTGTACTTAAAATAATTTTCAGCTAACAATATCAGATAGGGCCCATTTACTGGATGATGCGTTTGCTTTAGCAGATGCTGGTATTTTACCATATAACATAGCACTGTCACTCACACAATACCTTCCCGTGGAAAAAGATTATGTCCCGTGGGAAACAGCTTCAGGGAAATTCAGTCATCTATCAAATAAACTCATTAATACCCCTGCGTATGAAAATTTAAAGGTAAGTTTAAAAAAAATTACAGGCTAATCCTATTTTTGGACTACGACTTTAAAAGCGCAACAAAGCTTGGTCTCATATTTTCATATATTTTTTTTACGTAGGCGTTGGAACGCACAATCTAGAGAGTGTCTGAAATTCTAGGCGAACACCTGCTTTGAACTATTATGAACTTTTTTACACTGTAAAAATAATAGAATATGTGTTTCTTATCGCTTATTTAAGGATATTAATAATAATAATAGCTTTTTAATTCAGATACTTTTACATTTAAACACATTTCTATTTCAATCTTCTTGTAGGTATCTGTGTGCCCTTTTTTGGCAAAGGCCTCCTCCAAATCCCGCCATTCCTCTCTGCACTGTGCCACTCTCTGCCATATACCACCTGCTGTTTCTTTAATGTAGTCTATCCACCTTCTAAGTTGTCTTCCTCTTTTTCGTTAACTGTACCTTGGGCACTAGTTTAATTCCATGCGTCCACTCTTATGACACTCTGTACAAATACTAAGGCTTTTGAACGGCTTAACCGATTTTGAAAATTCTTTTTTTAAATTAAAGATGGAAAAATTTCCCGTGCTATAGGCTATAAAAACTCAATAATATTTACGAATAAATCACAAAACAAGCGGAAAAACAACTTCGAAGGAGACCTAAAACTAATAAGTCCTTTCAACAAAATCAAATCTTTAAATCAAATGTTCTGAATTTATGTATTTTTATCATCATTAAAAATTGAGTTTAACACTCGCTCCGCTCAAATTTGTGCTGAAGCGAAGCAGAATTGCGAGCACTGCGGCGTCCTAGTAGTTTTTTGCTCCACTTTTCTGTTCCTCTTGCCATTGCCCCGCCCATTTCCACTTTAGTTTATTTTTATTGTAACATCTGTTCAGTCGTTGTTTTTCTTAAAGCTGTATTCTTTATTTTGTCTATTCTTTTATTCCCTATCATTCATCGTTCCATCGCTGCTGCATGCTGCGCTATAGTGGGCGCCCAAGTTATGAGATATGTTATACATTATTTAAGGATACTTTTGTTTTCAAAAATAAACTATGAATTGTTGTACAATAGGCTTTTTGACTCTATGAAAAATATACAGAAATATGAACAAAACATGGCTTTTAAAATCATTGTGGAGTAAAATGACTTGTATAAACATTGTTTTTTATACCTCACCTGACACACAACGGTGACTAGTCGAATCAACAAGGATGTAGTGTGTTCGTAAATATTATTATATATATACTCTCATGGAGTTTTATAGAGACTGATTTTGATAGAAATATCTACAATAATGTTTAATTTAAGAATGACAATTAACATAGAATGAAATTTTACGGACTCTGGACTTTAGAAAAGCTAAGTAAAGGTAATTCAAACTTAAAATACAAGCTTTCTACTTAAGTTTCTTGGTTGGTTTCTGGTTCATCTGATTCAACCACTAATCTACGATTTTTCAACTCTGTCATAGAAGCTAGGGATTGTGTTATAAAGATTTTATTTAATTTTCAGAAATATGTTCAGCACCTCATTGCTGGTCTATATACGGAACAAAGTTGGGAGAAGACGAATTTGGATGTGATTCAAGGGTAATATACTTGAATCATGCATATAACATATTTTCGTGTAATACAACTTTGATGACTATTAATATCATATTGGTGAGACTATATGATAGTTTCTCAGACCACCAGTTAGCAGTGTGCGAATAGCGTTTTAGACAGCTTAACGCCTATGGCACTTGCAAGACGTAGTAAGGTAGTAGGTATGGCCCCCTAAGTCGATTCATAAATACCTAGAATATCAGGCAGCTTCCGTCAAGTGATTGTGCGCGGCAAGAAGTTTATTAAAAAGCGCTCTGTCACTCAAAACGTCAAATTATGTAAATAATATTCTCGTTTATATAAGTAATATATAAAATACTTATACTATAAATTTTTATATATAAAGTGTATAGGATAAAGTTGCTGGGCAAAATCAAAAGCATTAATAAAAGGGGATAGTTGGTTGGGCAGCGCTGCAGAGAGTGACATTGCTTCTTCGAGGGGTCTGCCTGACGTCACCTCTGCAGAGTAAGTGATTTTTTTGCTGTTTTAACTCTCACGGAAAATTGACTAGTGACCTGTTCTACGAAGCTTAATTTATTCTTATGGTAAGATGAATTTACTTGAAAAATAATCTACATGCCTCTATCTTTCTCATAATATGACACCAGATTGTTGTTAAGATCTTGTATTAAGACATGATCTATTTAGCAGTAGTTGCTTTAGTCGAATGCTATCCCGACTCAAGATAATATTAAGTGATACGATATAACATTCTTTCTCATTGAGAACAAGACCTATTAGATAAGCGACTTTTTCATTGAGCCATGTCTAATACTTTTTCATAGTAATCCATATTAATTATTGAGTCAAAACTTGTAAAGGATAAAGGGTCTCTTTTCGGTCCAGAGTAATATTTTTTTCTACATTAGGCTCACGATACATAAACAAAGAAGTTTCTTTGATTTGATTAAAAATTAGACTATATCGGTATTACTTAATGATTATCTTAATACACTCAATAAACAATCTATGAGATGAGTTGGTTCGAACGCAAGAACGCACCAGTACCAATCAATGACGGTGAATGATTATGATCATGAAACGACATACAGGATGTAGATTTTTCCTAAAATTTGAGTAAGTCAGGCACTAGAAGAGATCAATCTTGGCATATAAGAACAACAAATAAATCACGATATAACATACAAAAATTTGCAGGCTCAGACCTTTAAGACGTCCTGTAGCGCCACAGTTTTTGAAGCTATAACCATATAATATCGACCGCAAAACAATTTGCGTATGCTAGCCACACAGAAATAAATCATTTGTCGTCAACTTTGATATGTTTTATATTTGCTGGATTATATGAAATTAAAGACATTAATAAACTAATTAATAGATTTTTACAATTTGCTACGAACGTACGAGTCTTTGACACTAGCTTACTATCGAGCGGTTTGAAGCCTGCAACGCTGAGCAGCAGAGTGAGAGATATGTTTCTGAACTGGTTGAACTCTACAGGAAAGTAATATGTATCATAGAACCTGACTCTCTACGAAGCTTAATTTATTATTATGGTAAGATAAATTAACTTAAAAATAATCTAATGACCGCTAATTTTTACTTAAAATTGAATACAAATCTTATTCAAGATTATCTATTAAGAATACCCATTTATTTAAGCAGTGTTGGTCCTTAGAGGAAGGTCATTTCCTTGAAATCGTAAATAACTTTAAAGGAACGGGCACTACTTCTCCTGGGAACAACATGCAAGGAGCATTTACTATTTTTAATCTCTTTGAGCTATGCCTACTTATTATGTTCATGTTAGTAAAAAATCTGTTAATTATTTAGTTAGTAATATTAAAAGATAAAGGCTTTTGAAATTTTTCTATCTGAAAATAATATTTTGTTCTGAATTTGAACCTTATCTATCACTTAATTACAAGTATATTTTATACTGAATTTGACATATGATTTTTTTAAACTAGACAGATCAGGATTTTATTCTAATTTGGCATATTATTTTTATTCTTAATTTGTATCTTATTTTAGTTCTTAGATTAGAACCGGCTATTATTATTACAATGAATGTGAATGAATTACATTCTGAATCCGAATGCATTATTTAGATTTAAATTTGAATATTATTGTTACACTGAAATTGAATTTTTGTTTATACAGAATTAACAAATATTTTTATCTCGATGAATTAGAATATTATTTTGAGGCTCAGACCTGAATATTATAGCTTCACTGGTTCTTAATTAGAATATTATTTTAATAACGACCCATTTCAATATAATTTTAATTCTAATTTGAAGATATCTTTAACTTCTGAATTTGAAAATATTTTTATCGTTGACTTTAAACTATGTATTTTTAGTAAATGCGTATTGAATAATTATATAATTTGATATAAATTATTCTGAATGTTGAATATTATTTAAATTATTCTGAATATGAATATTATCTATATCTTAATTTATTATTATTGGTATAACTGAATTAGAATAGGATTTGTATACTGAATTTGATTATTATTTTTATTCTGAATTGGAATATGTATTTGTAGTCTTAGTTTAAACTTAGTCTGTACCCTCTTAACCGGAAGATATTGTTATTCTCAGAAGTTGAATATTATTTTAACTTAATTTGAATATTAGTTTTAGTCTGAATTTGAAATTATTTTTATGTTGAACTTGCAATACAATTTTTATACGGAATTGGAATAGTAATTTAATACGAATTTGAATATTATTTTTATGAAGAATTTGAGTAATTAAAGAAAACAAGGCCTATTCATTTTATCTTCAATCTGGAATCGGGTCAGAGCAGAGGCCTTTTTCTGGGATATACAAACTCAAAAAACCTACTTGTAAAAATGGGGCGATCCTTTCGCTTAAAGACCAGTATTGCTGCAGCTTTATGGTAACATTTCGTTCGGTGATCCTTGTTTGTCATATAAAAATATCTATACATCATATTCTTGTATCTATAGATCTATACATTGTACATCTAGGTCGCCTTGAAAATTATTCTAGGCTGAATGCAAAAAAGAAGAAATCGCCTATGTATTCTAAAGCTTCGGAGTTAAATCTACTTTTAGGAGAAACCCGACTTTTTTTTATATGAAGTTTGACATATATGACAGCGCTGAGACTGCTTAATATGGACCTAAGATTATTTCTTTATACTTACGTTTCCTCCAAATAAATTGTTTCTTGAATAAAACGAACAGCATCGAATAGAAATTGTTTAAAGATATAATTTGTATGAAAAGTCGATACTTTAGAGTTTAAAAACCGAAATTAACGTACGAATTATAATAATTATGGCTATATCTCTAAACAGTCAAATTAAATACCTTTCCCTATCTAAATTTTATTAAAAGTTTTAAATTCCTTTCAGATATCTCAATTTAGCTTGGGATGAGAAAAATATTCGAAGCCAGGATTACCTTAATGTTCTTCAGCTGATAAGTGCTAATCCTTCTGGAAACGGACTGGTATGGGACGAGGTTCGAAATCGGTGGAATACACTTGTTGACCGTTTTACACTCAACAGTAGATACCTTGGCAACCTTATACCTGCTATAACGAGCCGTTTTAATACAGAGAAACAATTACAGGAGGTAAATATGGTATTGGAAAATCATACAGTTTAAAAATTCAAATACTTCTTTACATCTCTTTCTCCCTCTCTCTTTCGTCCATAAATAATCGTAATCTATATTTGCATTTATTTTTTAAACTATTTATTTGTTTGGGAGCTCAAAATTTACCAACTTTTTAACTTATTGCTCTTAGTAAATAATAAAGATAAAATTATTAAAAGTGTTAGTGAAATAAGTTTTTTTGTGAAACGGACACAAAAATCGATCTATAAATATTATTTTGAGATCCAAATTTTGTGCGCAGCAAAATATTGCGTTATTTCACAAACTGAGGTTGAACTTACTGTGCCGCGCATTGATTTGATTCAACATTTAAATTTACTTTTGTAACACCAGTTCTAGAAAATTTTATTGTTACGTCAACAATTTAAAATTTATAAAATTCAAATTCAAAAATCATTTAATCATATAGGTAACACATTGTGCACTTATGACTTGTCAGTAAAGAAATACACATTTAGTGCCAGTTCTCAAATCAAGGGCGTAGAACGGAAGAGAAGAACTGGCAATAAACTCTCTTTAATCGCCATGTTGTTTTTTACACAACGTTTGTATATTATATTGATGTATGAAAGCAGTGTGTATCAAATGTCTTATTTAAACAATACAAAATAATATATATGGTCATCTTTGATTTTTGAATATCTTTTATTTTATTCTATCACTTTATATCAACGCATCTCAATTTCGAGAAACAACACATTTGTGAAGTAGATTATTGTAATCAGTATGTATCGTGTTTTATTGTAAAAAAATTAAGAGAAAGAAAAAGTCCCTGGACACGATGGCAGGTGTTGTTAATAAAAAATAAATAATAATAATAGAATCTCAAACAATACAAAAATTTCACATAATTTAAGCAAGATAAGAATATCCTTTCAAAAACCAAGTAGACAATTCAACACTCGTATTCTGTCAGTGTTATCAGTATTGAAATAATTGAATTTCAGATGATATCATTTTTCGAAAAGAATTCAGAGGCCGGCGCAGGCGCAAGCGCACGTCAAAGAGCGCTTGAGAATGTCCGTAATAATATCAAATGGACTTCTTCCCATCAATCGACCGTTACTTCCTGGCTTGAAAACTATGTTAAGGCAATTATATCTATATAATGGAAAATATAGTTGTTGTAATGCCTCATTAAGTTATACAATTAATAAATTATGTATGTAAAATTACTTAATAAAAAATAAATGTACAAGTTGTTCCTTATTTCGCGTACTCTTCTATTACACTTATGCTAAATTTTATTACCTAAATATAGATAATTTAATAAAAAAGAAGTCAATCATTTTGAGTATATTGGGGGTTGTTATCAGCTAGAACTCATTTAAGCATATAAGATAGTAATTTTAAAATAAACTTTAAACCTTTTTACAAACTCAAAATGTTGTGAAATATCCGCGATTCCCTACCAGATGGGCAAATCGCTGATACTGATGGTGATAACGTTCGGATACGGTAAGGCCGGAATACGAAATATTTAACGATGCCATTATTCGTTTGATTGTGATAGGTTCATACGTAGTACCTCTAATCCACTCACACGAAACGTTAATTGTTCCATTCCATTAAAAATATTTTAATAGAAAGTTATGGTGAATATGCTAGGTTTTAAAAAGGTTGTTACATTTAGAGTAATTGAAAATTAGTAAATAGTGATGCAAGTTATAATGATTAATGATACATATAAATGTTTTTAACAGTCATCTAAATTTATTTCTCTAGATCAGACGAACGGCGAAGCACTGTGTAGTAACTGTATGCAGTTTTAACAATCTGTAAAAAAAAAAGTTTTAATAACTCCAAAAATATCCTATATTCGACACCAAACCTAGCCCATCGCTCATCCTAAACATGTATATTATACCTAGGATATTCATATAGTTATTTGTTTTAATTTTCATGACAATTAATTTCATGAAAATCGTCAGTGCTGGAGGTTGCCCTAACAATTGAAGTTTTTGGGTTTATATTTTTGGCTAGCCGAATAAAGGAGGAATATACCGGTAAAGTGCAAACAAATAATGATAATATTTTTTGTATATGAAAAAAACGAACGACACACAAACCTGAATAAATGACTGAAGATTCAAAACATTAAATGGGCCGGCAAAGAGTCTACAACTGCGAGACATGCCTGTGCATAAAATCGCAATTTCACGTCGCACTTTGCCACTAACACTCCACCAGGATGACGTAAATGGGCCATCCCCAATAAATACAGCACTCTGAAAAGGTAATTACACTTTATTACAAGGAAAACAAGCCTATTTAGTATTTGTTAATTCCTATTATATCCGTAACCAGTAGGTAAACGATATTTGTTGTTTTACTGTAGATAAATAACACCAGTTAATAATAACAAGAGTTTAATCGTTTTGTAAATCAGAAGTAAAAATGAGATTTAAATTGATACTTTTCTCACATAAAGTTTTGTTTTTGCATTTATGACTTATTTTGAATAATGCTAAAAATGGTTCACTTTTGCCTAATGCATGCATAATGCATATGGATCATAAAATTATCACAAATAGTCACCTAACGGGAAACAAACGGTACCTTATTAAATACTCTAAAATAACTATGCCTTTTAAAAAATTATATACTTAATATTAACCTATTTAAGTCAAAAATATAAAATTCAAAGTAAATTTTGTATAAAAGAAACAAATGTTATAACTCAGAAATGTTCTTAATTACCTTGGTTTGTACTGCATGTCCATAATGACAGTAAAGTAAAAGCTGTATAAGAGTCGCGCACATGTACTGTAGCAGAGAGATTAGCTGAGTGGCGCTTAGCTTCGTCTGCAAGGAAATTCAAGTTATTTCAACCGTGATACAAAATAGTACAACACGTTTATACGCTCACTAAAAGCAAAGCGAATAGCGTTAGGTTGATTGTTGAAGTAATTTTTATTACATTATGATAATAGCAGCAGCAGTAGGTAAGTGTATTTGTATTTCATCGGAAGGGTGTTCCATGTCGAATAGTATGCGTGTTGTAAGTTATACTTGTTGTATGAATAAATATTAAAATCGTAATAATGATATTATCGCAATCTTATAGTAATCGTAAAGTGTGTAATAAAGATTCCGTTTGTAAGCTCACTGCTCTTTTGGAATCCCAATTTATCCGTATTCGCCATTGTAAGCGTGGCGTGGCTATCGTGAGATACGTTTATAATTAAGTGCCTCTAAATAAATATACATAAAATAAAATGCTTCTTATTAAAATGGTAAATTTGCGTTTGATTCGTAAAGTAGTATTAATTAAATTTTATTAATTGCGTAGGTACTTACAGATTGTAGTTGTACAGCCACTGAACATAAAGTCAAGGTGGCTAAGAAAAAATATATACCGATGATATTCCTTATTAACTCATTCAATTTGTTGACCATGCTACAAAATAATATTCCAAAAGTAAAATATAGTTCTGAATACTTTTTAAATACAGCTTTCTCTCAATGGATTTTATATTTTGGTTTGATATAGTCTACCTAAAAGATCTTTTAGCGTAGGTACTCAATAAACATAATATTCCTTAGGCTTTCTCTTATTTTCAGTACAAGAATATCTTATTAATAATGTTTTATTAAAACGAAAATAGGCAGTCCGGAAGATATTGGTGTCTTACTTTGCCTTGCAAGTCGAACAATGATTATTTTTTATCCCACAATCCGTGGAGTATTTTAAACGAAGCGCTTGACGCATGTTCAGAGGAGTTGTTCGGACTAATACCTGAAGCTGAGTTTCATCATCGGACGTCAAGGCAGAATAAAGAATACCATCCGTATCACCTTGACGTCCGTAGTTCCACAACTGAGCGTTTCTTAAGGCAATTTCTGCCGCGCACCAACACTATGTGGAACCAGCTGCCCACTGAAGTATTTCCGAACCAATTCGACTTAGGGTCCTTCAAGCAAGGAGCGTATCAATTCTTAAAAGGCCCGCAGCGCACTTGCGAGCCTTCTGGCAGTGCGAGTGTCCATGGGCGGCGGTATCACTTAACATCAGGTGAGCCTCCTGCCCGTCTGCTTCCTCTAACATAAAAAAAATGTTTAGTTTTAGTTATCGGCTACGATATTACTTACCTTAACAATGTAACATGAATGAAATTACATTTTTTAATTCGATAATGCGCTCGAGCGTCCCTTTTCAAATTCAAGTCACATCGCTTCCCACTTCCACAAATTTGTATGCTATATTCGCGTAGCAAAGAAAACTGACCACATATAATTATCATTGTTCCCGTAGCAAAGGTATCAAAGGTTATATGAATGGCCACACAGTATATTGATGCTATTAATTCGACGATTAATGTGAACACGTAACCAATAATACTGAGTTTGTCCAATGGTGACCAAATTGGTAATATATGAACCCTTAAGCCGTCTACGTCTCCGTTTGCATTGTATATCGCGTATCCAATAAATGGAAACAAAATATACACAACAGCAGTGAAACTATAAATTTTTGCCAACCAACTGCTTGTAGTAACAAACTGTTTCGTATATAATAAAATTTGCGGAGAAAATGTTCTGTTTTCTTCATCGTCAGATTCGTAATTTACAGTTGTATCATCATTGTTCAATTGCTCGTTTTCCATAATGTAAGTTATCTTGTAGAGAAAACGCCAAGATTTCCTTCTTAACTGTAGCGATGTCAGCTTAATAAAACCCATTCCACAAAATGAAAGGACGCTGAAGCATGCAAACAGATGTTCTGGATCATTTCTGCTTATAATCAAAGAAACAAATTGGGCCGCATTTGTTATAAAGAAGCAAATAATACAAATCTTTGCGAGCCAGTTCGTACTATCTCCCAGCGGACCAAACCACAATCCCATCTTCTTGACCCAATGTTTGATTGTTACCTCCATAGTTGTACGTCGGTTTTGCATCAAATATCTTATATAGTCTTCAGATAGCTCATGATTTCCTTTCTACAACAAACGGGTGATGCTTCAGATGATTTTATTATTTGCGAAATGAACGGCTTAGAAATGTCGAAACTCTAAACAGACTTTTAAAGACCGGCAACGCACTTGCGAGCCGTCTAGCATTGAGAGTGTCCATGGGCGGTGGTATCACTTAACATTGAGCATCTTGCCCGTTTGCCTCCTGTTCTAGAAAAAACTGAAAATTATGATATATTTTTCAAAAAAACCTGACATAATTATTCGTTTACAAGCATTTGTTTGATGTTTTACTTCAGACTTTTTAAAATATATTAGTGGTATATTAGGACTATGTTGGTGCTTTGAAGGTTCGTAACCCTTGGAGTAAATATAATAATGCTATTATGCTATTAATTATATAATTCTTAAGTAATTGGTGTGTCACATGCCCATCACTGTTCACCGTATAAGCTATTAAACCATTAGATAAAACATGTGACCATTTTCCTTTATTTCTTAGGTAAGCCTCCTGTGTCTGAACTCATTGTCGTTGCTAAGATTCGACTTAGCACTAAGTGTAATTTCCGTATCCAATACATTTTTGACGAACTCTAATCACGGCGCGATCTAAGGGTGAGATATTCGTTTTGCAACGATTTCTTTTGCAAAACAAGAAAGTACATTTGACACATAAAATACACGGGCAATCGAACGCACCGCTAGGCTAAAAATCCTAATCCTACTCGACAGTGTCAATGATCTGACAAAGAACAAATATTTGTTACTTCTGATGGATGGATACATGGAATTATTTATGCGTTCAAAAGCAAATAAGGAAATTTTTTAACGGTCAATTAAATTTTATCAATTAATAGAAAACGTTATGAGCTAAATATGAGAAAGTTAGGGCCGTCGGGATGTTAAGTCGTTCGTAAGTAACTATAAATCTGTGAACTATAAACAGATTGCCTCCTCGTGTATATTGTTTTATAGATAAGAAGGAGATCAACCTTCAGTACCTGACCTCATGGGTGTAAGATAGTTTCCTCACCATATCTTCACCGTAGGAGCAAATGTGGATTGTCGTGATTCGCCAAGGATAAGAGTCGCACACTTAAGCCATTGGGCTTGTTCTGCATAAAGACAATGCAACGAGCAAAGGTTAGGTTAGGTTCGGTTGCGATTGAGGGAGAGGTCCGGGGTTGACCGTA